CCACCGCGCGCTTTTGTGGTGTGTGGGAAAGGTCCGTCTGGGATTCCCCGTGGGTGGGGGTGGTGGCGGCGCCCTGGATTGAGGGGCTTTGGCCCTGCCGGCCTCGGTGGGGCGTTCAACTTCTCGAACCGTGAAGGGCCAAAGCGTTCCAGGTTGAGTTATTACAGGAAACTGCGGTCTGCGGCAAATGATTTCCCACCGGCTTGCGGCCCTGGATGTGTTCAAGGGCTCGGCCTTCACCCCACGATCAAGCGGCATATTTTCGCTAAGGGTTTCTTGTTATGGGGTTTTCTCTTTTTGAACAGCTAGAAACGCCCAAAGGGGCCCACAAGAAAGCAGCGATTTTTTTCAGGACGACCAACGGTTAACTTCTTCTGCTTCTCTTTTTTTTTTTTTCTGTCTCTGTGAGTGTGGTGTGTGCGCCGCCCTTTTTGCCTTTTCCTCTGGCTGGGGCAGGGTTGTGTTTGAACCCTTGCCGTCGGGTTGTTGGGGAGAAATGGATAAACTTCAGAAACAAAATTTCTTAGCAAAGACTCGGGATTCAAATGCCATAATAGTGGATTGGGGAGCTCTTTCCCAAGAGATTCGGGAGTAATCCACGCAGGGCCACAAGATACATGGCAATCGGAGGTTTAGGCACACGGGTAGCCAAAGCAATCGTAAAATGAATGGTGGATGCCCTTGGTAAGGATGTGCTACCTTATCGTGGTACCGAGGTTGAGTACTTGAATTTATTCAAGGAAACTAAATGCACTCACTAAATGTTTGAAGTAGGTGGTTTCCTTAAAAAACAAATTCTTTTATTTTTTATTTTTAATACATGCATTCTTGGAAATGCTTTCCCGTAGCCGGCGTTTGGCCATCAAAAGTTGGAGCCAACGTCCATTATCCCTTATTATTTTGAGGGAAGTCATGGGCCAGCAAATTCTCTTTCTTGAGAGTTTACTGGTTCACAAGCTAAAAACGTCATACAGCACCGGGTCCAGCAGAGTCGTGCTGGGATAAAACTTTATCCAAGAAGTTCCTGGGACACATACAAGTGTACCATCAGCAGCAGTTTCTTTTATATATTGCACTTTAGCGTGAATGCCGCTAGGGAAAGGCAGGGACCCTAGAGATAGTAACAATTATGTCCTCTAGTGGTGGAAATTAGACTTGGCCGCTGAGGGGACTCAGAGGGGCGAGAAAAAAAATCCATGTTCTGCCACCTAAGCGATTTATAGCAATACCTTTACCAAAGCGCAATTCCCCTGCGCAGCGGTAAAAAAAATACAATGAAATAACAAAAAAAAAAACAACAAAAAAATACTAATAAGTCAATAAATAAATAAGTAAATGAAAAAAAACATTATATACATATATCATTATATATATGTATTGCTCTTGATGGTTCACGCCAAAAAAAAGAATAGTAGATAACGAAAAGTTTTCAAATAAAGGAATATGATTTCATAGGAGTACACTTTAACCGTAAGGAAAACACGGTTCCCCTAAGAGAAAAGGCAATAAAGAGGTTGCAAGAAGCACAATTATTGGAATACTCAAAAGTTGAAGAATTGGATAGTACAGTTTCGCGCATGATATGCGGGGCAGGGGGTGCAGGGTAAATCTCTTTTCCCTTGTTATTTCTTCTTAAAAATAGTGCGTCGACGATTGTCAAGTTTGAATTGTGTGTTTCTTATGGCCACAAGATAAGGCAAATTTATTATCAAATGCGAAGGCCATTGGGCACAATTGGCCCAAAACACTCTTTACGAACGGGCCAGTTCACCCACAGCAGCACTTGCCATCCACCAGCAACGCTGGTAACAGACACATCCATTGTACGGATGGAAAACGTGTTGTTATTCAAGGATACCGGAGAAGTTCTCGCCGAAGGGGGTGCGTGGGCGCATTAACCCCCGGCAAGGTATCGCAAGAAAGGGTGTGTGCAGTTCATCTCGCATTACGCGGTTTTAAAATTCATTTGACTGGTCCCTTTGGCGCCCCCATAAACAACACAACGATAATGAACATTATACGAAAAGAAAACACGCCTTCAGAATCTTTAGTGACGGAGGCCGACGCCATAGAGGGAGCCTCACGCTCTCATGGAATACGGGCTTGTTGGAGTTACGCGTTGTCCGGGGAAACCCCGCGGAAGGCATATCTGGAGGAAAACAATAAAAAAATTGGAGGTTGCGAAGGGGTGGAACTTGTGACGGGAAAAGCAGGAGGCAGAATAAAAGGACCTCTTGGGAGTTCCATTTTCCCCAGTTCTAGCATTTATTTGGTAAAAACCATCAGGGGTAAAAAATATCGGGATGTATACATACGCGGTGGTGCGGGAATGGGTTGTTCAAGGTGATAAAGTAACACATTTTCCCATTTTTCTTCGACCACATTCTTTGAGGAGAAAAGGAAGATGTAGATCATTTTTTTTTTTTATGGGTGGGTAGGACCTTCGTACTCATTTCGTAAACTGCCAAAATGTGACCCCAACCCATTTTCCAAAAAGAAGGGGTCTTTACTCCTTCCCCCTCCGGACGAAGCCCTTTTCAGACCCGACCGGCGCCAAATCCCCAGACCAAGATTTTGGCAATTTACTCAAAACAATTTCGCATTCGTTCAGAAATGATAAGCGCTTCTAAAGTTCTTTGGCCGCATTCCCAACGCAACGGCTCCACAATTCGGTGTTGTAAGGGGTTCCGGGTTCGCAGGAAAAGGATTGGGGTTCTGCGGGGAAAGGCTGCTTTTTTACAAAATACAGCCCAAAAGCCCGCCAAGAACCGACACCAAAACAATACCCAAAGGCGGCGCCCTTTCCAAAAGCAAAATTACGATATGAGCAGTAACGGTACCCGAGTGGGTTGCCACTAGATATGTGTAATGGGTTCCTTTTTTGCCTTTGCCCGTCACTGGCTGGGATTGTTGGCCGCGTGTGGGCGAAAAGGAGGACGTCGCCCGGGAGAGCCGCCAAGAATGCAGAGGAAGTGCGGCAAAGGCGCGAATGCAATAACACAATATGGGAGAGAAAGCGGCGCATGTTTTTTTTTTTTTTTTTTGTTTGATATTAGCCCTATGGCGCCGCTTTCTTTGAACGATTCTTTTACCTTTTGTCATGCGTGGCTCTGCTTCTCCTTACGGGGTTCCCTAAAGTCAACTCCAGAAGAGATGTTACCTGCGAGTTCCCTGGCGGAGTTTCTGGCGCCTCTCGCAAGAACGGCGCGCGCATTTGAAGGGAAACCGCATGGGTAAAGAAAAGGGTTTGCAATGTTTTTTTCTATTGTATTGATACTTTCTTTTGAAACCGAGAAGCTTGGAATTAGGCAGGGGGTGCGGGTAAGTGGGGTTTGGGGTAACCTCTCTTAACTTTTTTTTTCGCTGCTGGAGAAAAGGCTGGGGCGTCAAATTGTATCGTAGAGGTGTTTGTTTCCAATTAATAAACCGTAACATGGAAAAAAGTAGATTCATTTTCTCCAAGTATCGCCCCGAATTTCCCAACGATGCATAACTCCATGTAAAAGTGGTCCCAATTTCTCATTTCTATCCAGTTTCAAACCCGCTCTCTGGAGAGAGTGCGTGCGTTTGTTTCTTGTAAAAGGCAAGATTATGTCACCTTCATGTGTGGTCACGAGAGTTTTAAGCGATTCTCTAAGCACCCTCTCTCCTTGGAAAATGGATATTGCCACTTTTTTTTTAATTTGCTTCAGACAGTTTCCATGTCATCGTTTCCCATTTTTCCATTTGTTTTACATCAGCAATATCAGTTAAACTGTTTTGGAAATGGTTGCGGCCCGAGATTTGTGGTAACACATTGTGTTTTGTGAGGGTTCCTGGGAATCCTGTTTTTTTTTTTATTTTTTTTCGGATTACAAACGGCTGATCGAGGCCTATGGGAGAAAGTGGGGTTATTGGTAAAGTTTTATTTTTCTTAAACCGCGTGCTGGGCGATTGCTGTTTATGGGGGCGGCGGATGAAGTTTTAGTGCTGAGAGAGTGCTTCATTGAATGGCTGGAAAGGGGGAATGTTTAGAATAATCAAAAAGCCAGGGCTTTGCCTTTTCAGATTTCCCAAGATTTAAATGGTATCTTTGGCTTGGCCGCGGCGTTGTTTAAGGTGACTTTTTTTTTCCAGACCGCGTTCAGAAATAAACCGGCGCCAGCTTTCCTTGCCAGAGGTGGGGGCCAAAGCCGGTTGGGGAATAATTGTGCCAACCGTTTCTCCCCACCCAGCCCCGCCATCACCGTTTGGGGCAAAAAGTCCGCCCCATACATGGCAGCTTTGGTGGTCGGGTTGGGTTTTGGGGGAAGCTTGAGAAACAGGAGGAAAAAAAGAAAAAAGAGAGGATTCCCCCCCGTGGGCCCCGGGGCCCCTATGGCGCCAAAAGGTTGCGCGTTTCGGGAAGCCGCCGAGGTGGGATTTCGACCCTCCCCCCCTCCGTCTTTTTTTTTGTGGGCGGAGCCCCGAGGGGGTTCAAGTAACACATGGCGTTTTTTTTTTCTTTTTTTTTCCTTCTTTGTGGCCGCCGTTTGGGCCTTTCCGCCCGGCGCTTCGCGGTCGGGTTTGCGCGAGGTCGGTGTTCGCTTTCCCGGGGGGCCGGGGGGAAATGCCGAAAGCGCGGGCGGGTTTCAAAGGGTTATTTTGGAGAAAAGGGTTCTTGGAGGAGTTCTTCGCTACGGCCGGCGCTAAAAAATATTCTCGGCAAAAATATTTTTTATCGGTTCGCTCTGTTCGCCCCGTTTAAAAAAAAAATCGGCCGCCGTGTCCCCGCCCGGGCGTGCCAGTGTTTCCAAAGGGCTCGGAGGAAGCCGCCCACCTCCGAGAAGCCCTCAACCATTTGAACGCCGAAAGGGGTGTGTTCCTCTGGGGGAAAAAAAAAACGACGTTATTTCCATGTTCTTTTCCTTCTTCCGGGGTGCTCTCGTTGCCCCGGTTTGCCCCTCGCCGTTTCCCATTTCCCTACCGGGGAGGGGTCGGCCCCGAATGCGAAAACAAAAAAAATGAGGGAGTGAAAAAAAAAAAAAAAAAGATTACACGAACGCGGGGTCGTGACAAAATGAAGTGAGGATTCATATTTCTGTGTATAAATAAACGATGGAAAGAAAGGGTATTCTTCAGGCGGTGTGGGCGGTAGAGGCTCTGCAAAGAAAAACAATAATAAAAAAAAAATTAGGACCGTTTCGGTTCTACCGTCGCACTTCCGTTTGCGAGTGAAGGGTTGGCAAAGAAAATGGGAAAACCAAAGGTGTTTTTCTTTTTTCTTTTATTGCGTTCTGCGAGACTTTTGTCTTCCATTTCTTTCGTTCACGCTTTTTTATTCCACTGGCGTGAACGTCGGCTCTGTTTCATGGTGATGGCTTTCCTTTTCTTTCTCCATCATTGGAGGGCGACGCCATTCCCAAGTTAGCTCTACATCGTCATTAGAGAAAAAATTAATTTCAATAGCAATTTGAAGCCGTAATTTTGTTGAATGTTTAGCTGTATCATCCACCGTAAAGGCATCTAACATTTTTTCAACCCGTACGAACGGCAATTGAGTTTCATTACTTCGACGTTCTATTCGCACTTTCATTCTTTTGTTTTCTGCATGAGGGTTATCACAAGTTTCATTTTTTCCTCCATTATTCTCTTGAGGTTCCCCAATATAAATCACTTCTTCTTCTGCATGGGTAACCTCACTAGTACCTTGATTATGGAATCTAGAAAATTGAGCGTGCAAAAGCTCTACGGGGAAAGCCAAAATAGTTTGCTGTGCGGCAAGTACCGCAAGACGAATGGCTTTTTCCACACCCCTTCTTTTAACAGCTTCAGAGGAGGATGCAAGGTATCTGAATTTATCCCATGCGGTGAAAAAAAAAGTAGGAATAACCCCTTTTTCTTGTAATTTATCAATACCGAACACTCCAAGACTACGTTTCCCTTCTGGAATATCATCGTAAACATTATTTAAAAAATCTTCAATTCGATCCAAGGCGATGAACGCGTCATCGTATGGAGTGTTTTCGATTAAAAAAGATTCTCGGGGTATATCACGTACAAATTGTTTCCATACAAATCGCCACTCATCCCAATCAAAAATTGGTGGTACTGGTATTGAAGGTTCTCTCTCTCTTGGAAGAACCACTGTAGGAATAATACCACCACCAGGGGAGGAATAGGTTTCAATCTCTTTTTGACAAGCAAAACTACGTAGCGCATCTGAAATAAATTCACTTCGAGAAATAAGTAAAACTCCTCGACTTCCTTCTGCATTTGTTATAGCCTCAATGAGCGTAGGCAATTTCTCGTCAACGACGTGGCGTATACATTCCTCAGCTGAAGCTGCAGGTGGGAAAATGTACGTAAAGGTCTTCTCATCCATAGATGAAAAAAAAAAAAAATATATATCCAAACTATGGTCTTTTTCTTTCAAGTGGGTAAAAAAACCAAAAATAAAAAAATAAAATAAAAGAATAAATATTAAAGAGGAACATAGAGAAAAACCAAAAATAAAAAAAACAAACAAACAAATAAACAAACAACGAAAGGTTTGTTAACCTACTCTCTCAGGGGTAGGTTGTAGTGAAAAACCTCTATTCGAAAAGAAAACGAGAAAGTGGGATATGTTGTTTGCATACAAGTGGTTGCTTTTCTCTAAACATAAGCTGCTAATGGGACTAACCATGAAAATTGACAAATAAGTCAATATCCACCACAAATATAAAGAGGTTCCCCCCTAAAAAAAAAAAAAAAAAACAAAAAACAAAAGTTATTCATTTTAATTAAATTTTTATAATGAACTTTTCTCAAACTATTAAAAATGCAGATCAAAAATAAAGAGAAAAAAAAAACCAAAAAGCCACATGGAAGCTTAAAGGAAGAAAAAAAAATAAGGAAATCAAATAAAATGCAAACCGCTGGGAAAGGTTTCGTCCAAATGTCAAATAAAAAATTATCAAACATTTGTACTTAGAGACCCCTCTTTTCATCCCTTTTCTCCCATCATCGCTATCATTGAATTTTCATATATCTTTCTCCAGAAAGATATATAAATGTGTACATACATCCTCTACAAAATCCCAAAGAAATAGAAAGCACACACACACACACACAACTACCACAATAACAACAACAACCTACAACCTACTGAAACGCTAATCAATTAACTCTATAAATATCTCTTTTATCGTTCTCATTCGTACTGTTGTTGGAAAATATCGGTATCTAATGGTTTCAGTAACTGTTAAAACACATGTTCCTAGAGTTATAAGAACAAATGCAGTTACGTTGAGAACAAAACCACTTGTCAATACATACTTTTTACGATGGTAAGAAATAGTACCATTACACCAATTACCATAATAAATAGATATAGATAATATCCATTGTAAAAGTGTCATTGCGACACTAACATATCCAATAAACAAAGTCAAAAATGTAATTCTTCCAAGTTTTTTGCAAAGTAACCATCCCCCTAAAACAGCGAAAAAACAAGATATTATAGAAAGAATGCTAAAAGCTTCTGCAGCTCGAAAATAAGGTACTACATTTTCACAACCAAGGTTTTTAATTCCTGTAGAATTAGTACGGGGACTTCGCACCCATAGGGGCCCTTGACGTTCTCGCCATAATAAAGTATCTATAAAAGTTTTATTTGCGGCATTTTTGTAGAACCATTGAGGCATTGGAGAAGAAACAATGGAAAAAAGAAAAGCGACGAAAGCAAATGCAGTAAAAACAATAGCTCCAGAATCGATAGATCGTGCATCAGCTAAGAAAACAGGTTCATTATACACCAATAATCCTGCAACAGTAATTAATGCCCAAGATACAGAGACAAATGCCAATCCTATATAAGGTTCATAAGCACGAGTTCGATAACTCAGTCCATCTCCACATTCTTTAAAAACCCAAGAGTATATATTTATACCTAGTGAGCATTCAGCTACTACACATATAAAAGTTATTCCAACGCACCAAATAGCAGCTGTTCTAACAAATTTCTTTTTCTCTCCATAAATGTAGTTTGCCAATGTAACAATAGTAGTAATTAATGCAAATGAAGCTGTAACAATTGAGATTCCTTCCAATGCTTTCGTACGTTGTCGTATAGGAAAACATGTCATATCGTTCGTATACGTAATATTAACTACTTTACCAGACTTAACGACAGACTTCCAAAGGCCATATTCTGCCATCACATCTCCTCCATCAGGTGCAGCAGCATATTGTTCCATGCGGAACCAAGGTGTACCTATAGCCACTGTCAACAAGACAAAAGAAAGGCACATTGATAAAAAAACAATGGGTGGACCTATCTTCAGTTCACGTAATGGAGGAGGAGCTACTGGAGGAGCCAGAGGAGGAGGTATAGGTTGCGCAACGAAGTTTGGAGTTCCTTCATTGAGAGGGCCAACAGAGTCAAGAGAGTGTTCCTCCTCACTGCCGTCACCACTTGGCGTCAAAGGTTCAGTTCCCTTTACCATCGATTTCAAAGCAAACTCTAACTGAGAGTAAATAATAATAATAATAATAATAATAATAAAAAGAAAAAAAATAAAAAGAAAAAAAATATATTAAGAGAACAATTTTTTTATTATATATACAAGTCTAATCATTTCTTATAAATATTATATTTTTTGATGTAAAAAGGAAAAAAAAAAACCAAACAAACAACCTAATCGACAAAAATGTAAATTTCTTTATATATATATATATATATATTCTTAACATCGTTTCCTCACTTGCACAATGGATCGTTGCATTTCTCCAACAGTTTCTTTACGACTAACTTCAGTCACCTCAAGTCCATGAGCTTCAGCACGTCTCTGAAACTCAAGTACCCCACCATTTGTACCAAAATAATACTGTTTACTCGCAATATATGCTACTCCATTTTCAGGAGAGAGGCAACGTTTTAACATTGCGGCAAGTTTCTCACACGCCTCTTCATCAAAGGTGACATCACTCCCTAGTACCACTTTACAGCGATATTCATGTGTGTTCCCTTCTCTATTATTATTATTATTATTATTATTATTATTATTAACGCAGTTCTCCCACTGTAGAGAATTCCAATCACCAGATACCATATGCACCATAATAGGTAGTGGTAATGAATGCTTCTTACACAATTCCAATCCTGATGTATGACGCAACAAATTCACACCTATATTCGGCTTTACACAAAGCTCAAGTACTTCCTCATTATAATCTTGAAAAACTACTCGTCGAGCTCCCAAAAGAAGTGCAGCAATACCAGGAAGACCTTGTCCACAACCAACTTCCGCAACAATAGATTCACCCAAAGCATTTTCACCATTCTGTTCCTCTGATGCGCTATTACAAAGTTTATCATCTGTTAAGAAAAGTTTTTGAAATATCTCACGATTAGCAAATATATACTCCACAAGGTAGGGAGCACATGACCATACCTTTAAACCCCCATAATATCGACCTGGTACGATATCCCGTTCTTCTTGACCATTTCCAGCGGTTAGTTGAGAAACATGAGGGGCACGTTGATAGAGTAATGGTGGAAAGTTTACTACTCCATCCGAAACAAGTTCCATTCGGTGATTTGGATTATTTGGATATTGCGCCGCCCACTCTGCTAAAAGGTGATCCGATAATGTAAAAGCAGGAAATTTCCATAATGGTAATAACGCAGTTTCTGTTTCCATCGAGATGGAAATATCGGTATTACCTGGTACTACTTCCTCCGTCTCATTATCCGCAAAGGAGAAACGAAATCCTTCAGAGGACATCACAACTTCCCTTCACTCTAGAATGAGTCCCACCCTCCTCTTTGTCTTGAAAGTTTATTTTAAAAATAGGAGTGAAAAAAAAAAGAAAAAAAAAAAAGAAAAAATACCGTTTTAGATAAAATGTAAAAAGAAGAGAACGGTAGGGGTAAAAGAGAGAAGTATGAATGAAATCGTTCGTTTTATTTATTATCATTATTATCTTCTTTTAATGTGTATTGCGTTTTTACCGAAGAGAAATAAATACAATTAGTTCACTGCAGTGTTAAATGCAGCAAAAAAATAAAAAAAAAATACAGGGGCATTACTTGTGGTAAATCTCAAAAAAAAAAAATAATTGGTACGAGAACGTACATATACATATACAGAGATAGCAAAAAAAAAAAAAATAATATATAAATTCTACCAAGTAGAATAAAAAAAAAATAATAATAAATAGTGACGATAACAAACCTATGTATACACCCTTCCCAAATGAAAGAATGAACGATGTTTTGCTTGCTGCTTTTCAGCGTACTCGTATGAGGTGTATCCTCGACCATTAAGCATGGTTTCTAAACTTCTGGAGTAAACATGATTTACAGACGCACCAGAGTAGTACTCATTGAACATTCGTGGACAAATAACGTTCATTACACGTTGATAGTTATTCTGAAAACGCACAAATGGATTAACATGTTTCTTCCGTTCATAGTATAAACATCGATCTGTTATTTCTCGCAATGCATCTCCACTACAACCACGCTCTTGACTATATTGTTTAATGGCATCGTAGAAATGTTTAGAGTAGGCATCCACTTGATTTAAAAGATTAACACCATCCTCAAGTCCCATAGCTAACCCTTGAAGCCAAAAAGGATTACATGTATGAGCTGCATCACCAATCACAACAGCAGAAGGAAGACCTACGCTATTAAATAAATTTTCACAGAAAACAGTTGGATAGGGTGTAGGGTTCTGTGTAAAGGAAAATATTTCACATGTATCATCACTTTTTGCAAGATCAGGACAAAATTCACGCATAATTTCATCATCAGAAAGACGTTTAAGATCACCAATTGGAGCATATACCATAAGAGCAAAACTGTTACTATTACTACTACTACTACTATTACTATTAGTATTGCTCTTTTTATTTTCATCACTTTCTAGTGTTTTTCGTGGGAAAGCAATGGCTAAAGGAACTTGGTATGGTGATTGTACTTCGTACTGCAAGACAGGTTTTGTTCGTTTTTGTAACCAGCGATGTATATGTGAATGACTGAGTCGTTTACTCTTAAGAAGAAACCATCGTAGAGCAAAATCAATATCTGCGGCAAAACCTTCTACATCAATAAGATCACGCAAACGTGAATTTGCCCCTTCTGCAGATACAAGAAGATCATAATTAACCGCCTCACTTTCAAACTTCCTTTCCCATTTAAGAGGATGAAGTGTAAGACTTGTTTCCATAAGATGAGTCTGCCTATCAAGTTCTTTACCCACAATAACATCAGCATCACCACTATTATTATTATTATTATTATTATTATTATTATTATTATTATTATTATTATTATTATTATTTTCATGCACATCATCAATTACCTCTTGCGTTAGTTTCTTGTACATAGGACTTTCTTTTATAGGCTTTACAACAAGTTGTTGCTTTAGCGGATACACTGCCTCTATCACATGTTCATGAAAAATACGACAATTTCCAGTAGGCAATATATGTATATGTTGTTCAAGCACTTGACGAAGAGCCAATAAATCCACTGAAAGCATTTTTAGAGCGAATGGATGTAACTCTGTTAATCCATATGTAAGCCAACTATTATATGCCCCAGGGTGATCCATTACACCCAAAACAGGAACTCCACATTGTTTTAATTCATTAATTCGGAGACCTGACGCCTCTAATGCATCCATAGCTCGACGAGTAACCAGAGCGTGTTGTAAATTCACATAAGGACTCCAACGAGACCACACTATATTTCTTTCTTCTTTTTCATTTTTAATATAATCCTGCAATGATGTATTCATACTACCACCATGGGATGGTAGTTCTAATACGGATGCGTATTGTTCAATAACGGTTGTATGCCAACCTCGAAGGGCAAATAATGCCGCAACAGTCATTCCAACAACGCCTGCACCTGAGATGATAACATTACCCTTATGCGGTGAAGGTTCATCCGCAACCACAGGCTGCCAATGTTCTCCCTGAACAGGATAGGCACGGTTGCTGATGGGTTGCAGATGTAAATCACTAGGAATATCAGAGGAGTCCAAACGACGTCCTGAACCATCCGTATAGCGGTTTGTAGAGCCAAGTAACCGCCAACATCGTTTCCACATTCACTGAAAACTATTTTTATTTTTCTCTTTTTTTATATGTAAGAGTACACCCACACCAGCTTCCTTCTTTTTTTTTTTTTTTTTCAAACTTTGGTTGTTCTAAAGGTTAAAAAAAAAACATATATGTAGAAAGATAGATAGATAGATAGATAGATAGAGAGAGACAAAGAAAGGAGCTCAAAGGAGGAAAACAAAAAGAAATACAGGAAAGCCAGTTTTTTTTTTTAAAAAAAAGGACATCCATAACAGAAAAGAAAAAGGGAAATAAAGAGAGAGAGAGAACGCAAGAGAAAAATAAAAATAAATGTAACTATAAAATAAATATTAAAAAAAAAAATAATAATAAACAAACACCATTTTAAGCGAGAATTCCTCAAGTATACTTTATTATCACTGAGGATATTAAGACTTACGGTGTCGATTTCCAGCTTTTGATCGAATTAATAATAATAATTCTTCTTCAAATTCACCAATACGACCTCGCTGCTTCAATGCCACTGCTACCTCCGCTGCAGCCTGAGGTGAAACCACACCACTTACACACATTTGCAGAAAAGAACGGCATAAAGTCGCGTTCCCTTCATCAGTGAATACATGATATCTAATAGAATCACCATGAGTTTCAGATTTAACTCGATCTTGATCATCACAACAATGAATATAATCCCATATTGCCTTTAACGCTAGTTCCTCACTCCGTGCTAAACGAGCTGCTCGAAAAAGGGATAGAAAAACATTTACACCTTCTGTACGACGGTATCCTTGTTTCCAATACTCATTATACATTGATAAGGCAACTGAAGGCTCAAAAACACAATGACGTAAAATCTCAATCATATTTCGCTGTGGCAAAGGTGGAGCTGCTACATCTTGAGTTAATTGATAATAATACCAACAGGCAACTTTCCAAGAAAGCAATCCTCCATCTAGTCCACCACTAGTAGAGCCTCTTCCGTGTGTATAATGATTTAATGATATTTCTTCCTTCTTACTCCAGAAAGGATCTGTACGCATACGATAAAGCGTTAAGTACGCCAAAAGCTGCTGTACTTTAGTAGGATGTGTCACTCTTGAGAGAGAATGTTCAAAGAGATGTAATGCACTTATCCAGGAAGGAGAATGCTGAATCACAAGTTCAGAATAAAAAGTAGGAATCACAAGTGTGGTGTGTGGTGGACCATCTTTTCGGCAAAAAAGTTCCAAGGAAACTTGCCATGGTACTTTTTCTGATAAAATTGAAGTATGTAAAACATGTAGAGCATTTCGTACATGTCGATACTTTTCATTATTACCTTTATTATTACTACTACTACTATTACTACTATTATTACCATAACGATGTTCTTCAGAAAGGGTTTGAATAACTTCTTGACTTGAAGGTGACCATAGTAACGCTACAGCTTGTTCCCAATTCATGGGTTTTGATGAAATCATCATGGTATCTCTTTTATGTGAAATCCATGATTCAGAAGTTTGTTTACATTCTTCTTTTACAGCCTCTACCAGTTTCAACCAGTGATGATCTGTAAGGAAAAAGAAGAATGACATTCGGAGGTTTTCTGTTTGAATATCATCTGCGTTTTGTACCTTTAATAACATTCCCAATTGTACTAGCGGTTGTAATAACGAGATACGTTCAAAATTAGATGTCGCTCGTTTTCCTTTTGTTCGCAGTACATTTTCTGCCCTTAACAAAATCTTTTGTTGAAACTTTACAAGAAATCGGTAAAGAAGTCGTCGTTGCGCCTCATTATTATTATTATTATTATTATTATTATTATTATTATTATTATTATTATTATTATTAGTATTCGTATTATTATGAATTTCATCCTCATGCTCATCATTCAAAACAATGATACCGAGTGAAAAGATCTTTTGAAGGAGGGGTAACGGTAGAGCCTCAACCAATGCTTGGATCTGCAATTGCAGACTGCTGCTCACCCGCACAGAGGCCGCCACCATGGCGGGTAATAACCCAATAACCCACAACAGTGAAGACACAAACTCTTGCTGCTGTTCCTCTTCTTTCCAGCAGAGTAATCCCGTCTCTAGAGAAGTTAATAGATGCGACGCTAACCAATAAATATCCCTCCACGCCCCCATTAATAATACAGATTGTACCAAATGCCTTACCGTGCATTTCACATGATTTATATACTCTTGCCGTAGTGAACTATGCATCTCTTTTACTTCAGATGAGAAGAGAAGAAGTACGGAGGAGGCAACGCGTCGCCCGCAAAGAGCGAGTAGACGTAGAAACTCCTCTTCTTCTCCTTTTTCTTTTTCTTCATAGATAGTTCTCTCTTTGCTTGATATCACACAGAGGGCAGTTTGACAGATAAAACAAAAAAGAAGATTAACTACCGCATCTGTTTTGGCAAGAGCATTCCAAACCTTTCCTTTCTCATTTCCATTGCTACTACTACTACTACTACTACTACTACTACTACTACTAATCATTCCACCATAGTTATAATCATCATCCATTAACTGTGGTATCATTAAAAACCGTACTTCACATTTAAGAAGAGATCGGTACGCATCATGATGATATACTGTGAGAATAGATTTATCTGTATTGTGGAAGTCCTCTTTTTTTCCTTCTTCTTCATACATAAAGACTTTATCATACAATCTGTGAAGAGCAATGTAGATACCCAAACCAGGTTCTGCTAATTCCATAAGCAATAACAATGAAGAAACCACAAATGAGAGATCAATTTTATAAAATTGATCCTCTGCTGTTGAGGAATCTTGTACACCGTACTGAATTAATTTTACAATAAAACGTTCCATTATCAAACAACTTAGAGAAGTGCGTCCTTTTGCTATTTTCATAACAAATGTCTCTTGTACTAAAGTACGATTTTTCAGCATCTGCTGAAGAAGCGTAAATACAGATTTCCACACATTAACATGCACATGGGCTTCTTTATTTCCTCCACTTATAGTAGTATGAAGAAGAACTTCCCACACCTTTTCACCCATTTCTCGTAGTTCTAACAGATTGATGGACTGATTTGAAAATATAGAATCTCTTAATAAGGAATTCGTACATACAAATTGTTCCACAAGTTCCTTCATTAAGGAAATATGAGAATCACTACGATTACCACAAGAACGATGACGTTTCTCTCGTTCCATGAGGTGAGTAATAAATTCATTTCTCCATTCACGCGGTACATAAGGTTTGTATAATTCCATTACTGTAAAAAAGACTCCATTTAAATCTATATCTGCCACTTCAACTTGACGTACATCAGAAAGTAACTGACATACATGTTCCCATCCCAATACTTTTTTCAAGGAAACGGAATACAAAATTCCACCTTTTCTTAAGGATTGAGACTTTAACAAAACCGTAGAGAATTTCTCTTGTATTATTGTATCTTTCCTAAAATTATCCATTGAAGAAGATGATTTACGTGAGAACATCATTTCGGTAAAAACATCTTCTTCCAATAGATCTGTATAGGATATGGAATTTTCCATTGTAGATGTACTGCGGAGTAAAATCCACATGAAGGTAGCCCTCATTAATGCAGGACTATAAAAAGATACAGATGAAATACTTTCAAATGCAAGGTGTTGTACAAGTTCATCAATCACACCTAATTGAGATTCAAATAACTGAGATTGAAGGAATAATTGTAGTAGTTTCTTCTCCATTATTTTTGGAAAAGCAGAAAGGAATCGACATAATGTCTGTCGGATACTCGTAGCATATTTACCATCTCCCTTAACATCCCCTACCGCTAATGCCAATAGTGCCGATGTACATATTCCCTCATCCATACGAGCAATGGATCGAATAAGAGGAGATGTGGTTAAAAGTCGTATTAATGCAGCTGCTTGACTCTCCTCAGATTCATTTACTACTCCTACAGATACCCAATACCGTTGTTGTGCAGCTAACAAGTTAAACACATGAACAAGTGAAGAAGAGGCCCATGCGGCTTTTAATGCCTCACGCGATGTGGACTGCACGGCTTCCATAATAGAAGCCAATAATGCACGTGGACACGATGACCATGACATCACTTTACTCATCATTTGTGGTAGTTCGGCTTGTCCTTCACACAACAACATATAAATAAGAGTACACCCAGCCTCCTGCAGGACTCGCAATTGGAAGGGTAAAATAATATTCATGTGATCTGTAAAGAGGGATTGTGGGGATAAACCATTCTCAAGTGGAGGGAGTTTCTCTCGCATAAGAGTTGCAGACCCTGTAGTAGTAGTAGTAATAGTAGTAGACATTGAAGAGAGAGAAGTAATGGAAGAGCGACTGGAGACTACACTTGTAATATTATGAATAGCTTCCAGTACAAGTGGGAGAATAAATTGTTGTAATGTTTTCCCATACAAAAATGCAATGGAATGACATCCTTGCCATGCTTCTAAGGTTGTAATATCATTCACTAATGTAACGGAAGATTTTTTCCCATCCACAGTCTTTATCATTCTTCTTCTTCCTCCTCCTCCTCTTCTTTTTGTTATTGTTGTTCTTATTGTAAATATATCCTCATTACTACTCATTACAATTAACCATCGTTCTACAAGCTGAGGAGTTGTATGAGATGCAGGTAATAGTGAAACCTGTGAACAAAGTAACCAGCGATAACGATCTTGAATACGTTTTAACATACTTTTCCCAAACTCAGAGAACGTAAAGGATGTATACCATACATATAAGGTATAATTAATATCCCAAACACAGTTTAAAACTTTTTCAATACTTTTATTAACACCATCATCTTTTTTTGGTTTTACCCCATCACTACCTAGAGAAGTAAAAATTCGTTGTATAAAGGTTTCACAAATATCCATAAATGCCAATGCTGAACTTTCCACTTCTTTTTCCATATCTTTTACAATATCTTTATCGTTAACAGTACTTATCTTACTACGTTGACGATGAGCATCTAGAGAGATTTTCATAATAAGAAAGTGAAATGTACGACGTAATTTATCCAAAACAGCTGTTAAACCTTCTGCAAGTATACTTACTCCTCCTATTTGACTCTTTGATGATGTAAACTCACGTGTTTGGATTAACTGTAATAATAATTGTTGAATCAATGGCCAATCATGCAAAACCTCCATATGAGGACCACTCGTAATACACTGAACTACAATAGTTATTGCCGTTAACGTATCGGAATGTACATAATTCTGCATAACAGCTGAAGTATTCATTTCCTTCTGAAGAAGCCGTGATAAAAGTGGATGTAGAATATGTAGAAGATACCGCAGTAAACGTTTTCGTCGGTGACGACTACTCCAAACAAGTGCATCCAACAACAACTCCAATGCTGTTGACATTACACGATCCCCAATATAGATGGATGTATTTAATAAGGATAAGAGTGTCTCCACACATGATGGAGATGCGTCCGCTAACAACCAATTCACCACAACACCTTCCACAAATGGTTCTTCCGCCGCATCACATCGCCGTATAAAGGCACGCAAGACTTGCAGTGTGACTTCATTCGCTTTTAATACACATTTACTATCATGGACTAATGGTGTACGAAGCCAATGTAAACAATTCAAACATTCTTGCCACAATGTCCATCGACTTACAGGTGATATACTCACTTGTTGCCATACCGCATGTAATACAACTACCACAGCTAGTTCAATTTCCGAACGTTGTTGATCTTTCCAATTTCCTCTCGTTAATTCTCTAAATATTCCAACAAGGCGTCCTTGTAAAGTATAGAAGGCGGCTGTAGGTGGCTCTGTCTGTGTTTGAAGTAATTGTAAAAGGTGCATTGCATGAAAGAAGAGAGGTCTTAAAGTTCCTGAGTAATTCTTTCCACCATTATAGAGAGAAATGAGTTCTATGAGAGCACGAACAGCATCTACAGGAGAGTACAACAACATCAACGATGTATCATCCCCATTAATAACACTAGTAGTAGCACTATTATTATTATTATTTAATCTTTGCGGCTGCACATCATCTACCTCGCGTTTAATACCTTCAAGCAGTTGCACCGCCATTGTACTATCAATCCATCCACGTGTAAAGGCCTGTTGGATGAGATGTAGTGCCGCTGACGGCTGACGAGACGCACTCCACACAACATAACGAACCGCCACTGCCGTTACGGATGTACAGTTAAAATGCATAGATTTTATCTTTTCATGAGATTCAATCATCTTCCCTTGATCAGGACGTAATGCCGCTGTTGCTGTTAAAGCTGCAGTATCCCATCTTGTTTCTTCTTCATGAATAAAAGATGACATTACAGCCATCGCCGCTTCCCACTGATGATGTTTATATAATAAATGAGAAATAAGAGTGAATACAACAGCATCCGGTTTGCGAACTAGTGACACATACGAGAGAGCCGCCTCCCATGTTGATTGAAATCTTTGATTTGTACAATAACTTGTATCATCCATTTTTTCACTGGAGGAATCTAATAAACGGAGAAGTGGCATGTAAACACAGGAAGAAGTTTCAGAAAGATTATTCTCATGTATATGTAGCTGACGCCTTGCAACATGCAGGAATTGTTCATAAACAGATATAGATAATGCAATGAGATCTTGAAATGTACTTTGGCGTGATATCATAGATGCTGAAGAATCAGGAGATTCTGAATAAAAGTGACGGTGAATAAGTTCAATTTGAATAGCACGAAGTACTACATCATACATTTCTAAAGGGATGGACACTATTCGGTTTAATGAACCTTGTCGCCAAAATGTATGATGAGTAATCTTATCTATGGCGTATGATGGATGTATATCATCATTATAACTATTGTTATTATTATTAGTACCTTCTTCTTTTGTTGTTGCTGATGTTGTTCCTGTAGTTTCTTCAAGAAGTCTAATAAGCAATGGGAGTTCTCTCTGAGCCATGGCAGCTTGTGCTACTACGAGTAAAGCACGAGGAGACCATACAAGAAATGATAATTCCGCATGTAATTGCAAAATCTTCTTATACTGCTGTGTTCTTCTAAGTACATATAAGGTATCCTCTAATAAAGTGGTAATAAATCTCTGATCTACAGTCGTATGAGATGTAATGACTTGTTGAAGTAGAGATAAACACATATTCCAATCACCAAGCTCACGTGAGGAGTTACTGACAAGCATAATCACCTCTTCACTAAGGGGAATACTACGAATACAATCACGATATGTTTCTAACACTACTTGATGTTGACCTGCTTCTGCCATCATTAATATAAAGAATGCCATTGTACTACTCTCCCGTACACGATGTCGAAAGGAGGAAAACACCATAAGAGCTAATTCCCAGAAAAAACGTACTTCCTCCGGTTTATTCTCTTTAGAAGAAAAAGAAACAGAGTTATTAACGCCTGCTGCTTGACGAAGCATAGGACCTCGTTGATTTGTTTGTAATGCCAACAATGGTGTGGGATTTCGCTTTTCACGCACATTAACTGTGGAATGTAATCCACCAATACGATAAGCCTCAAGTAAAAGCCGAAGTGAAACATCAGACACAGCCAAATATTCATCACGTGCATCCTGAAAATACATGAGGGCTTCTTTCCAACGTTTTTGAGAGACAGCAGCGGTCATAAGCCAATCATAAGTTTCTGTTGTCGGTTGTAATGCATGAACCAACTCTCTAAGGGTTTTCTCTTCATTATTATTATTATTATTATTATTATTATTATTATTATTATTATTATTATTATTATTATTATTAGAAACAGCAAGCCCTTCCTCATACTGTGTCTTTTTCTCTTTACGCATAACATGTGTAGAAAGAAGAAGTTTCTCCACAAATTCCTCTACATATTCCTTCTGTCGCCAACACTGTTCCTGAATAGTGATTCCCAATAGTACATTTATATGCTCAATAGAAGGTAAAACACCATAGTGTTGGACAGCATCACTAAAAAGAGAAAATGCAGTATACCATGAACCCATTCGTTTAGGAGAAACTATAGAAGGAATGGAAACTGAAGAAGTTGTTATTTCTACTTCTTTTTCTTCTACAACTGATGTTTTAAGATCTGATGGTGTTGATTTTGTAATAATACTCTCTTGATGTTTAGAAACAGATTGTTGTCGGCTTTTTAGTAGTAATACACGTAAAAGTTGATGTTCCGCCTGAGGTGAGGCCATCGTCTCTTTTGTTGTTTCTGTCCTTGTTACTATAGGCTTGGTTGCAGTTGCTGCTGTGTCTTTCCCATACACGGCGATGCGAAGAAGTGACATGGTGAGAGCATCGCCGTGTGTTTCTTTTCCCTTCTCGCTATCTATACTTCTTCTGCTGTCGTTGGCATGTCTATATTGCCAATGATGTGAGGATGCACAAAGTATTTTATTAATGAAAGAATCACATTTGCCACATCTCCGCATCAGGTATCTTTACTCGAAGATATATATATATATATATATATATAAATATATGCGTATATGTGTATATATTTCCTTTTGTTTCGTTTTTGTTTTTGTTTTTATGTGGGTTGCACCTCCACTTCCCTCTTTGAATGTATGTATCTTACCGTATTAAAAAATTCCCAACTATTTTTTTTTTCTTTTCTTTTTACTATTAACGCATTGTAATTATTGAGAGTACAAGTAAAATAAGAAGGGTTAAAAAGTAGAGAGAAAGAAGAGAAAACAGCAAAAAAAAAGAAATTACAGTTTATAATACCCTCTTCAATTGTGAATGAGTTTTAAATCATGGTACAGTCGTGTGTCATATGATATATATATATATAGACACACAGATATGTACAAAAAGAAAAAAAAAAAAGATCTCAATTTCCCCCATTCCTTCTTCTTTTAACTCATTCTTGTGTCTGATCAACAGAGCAAAAAAAAAAAAGAAAAATAAACCCTTCCGCTCATTTTCTTTTCAGCTTAACTCAAGTACTTCGCTCTTACTTTGTGCGGAATATACCACACACCCCCATTTCTTTCTTTCCTTCTTTCTTTTCGTTCACAGACCAACACACCTTGTCCATTTTTCCATCCTTTTTTCTTTTTTCTCTTTTCTCTCTTCTTCTTCTTCTTTGATTCTCACGAACGGACTGTAGAGCCGGCAGTGGAAAATCCTTTTGCAAAGGCGTCTGCGAAGGATGTCTGGTAGTACTCTGCAAAGGAGGGTTGCTGTTGCTGCAGAATATCTCCCCCCGCTCCAGCCGCAAACATCACAACATTCCACAAGAGTTGCATTGGAAACGACTGGTCAAGGCCGAGGGCATTACGTAATCGCACAAAGTCATGCCAGGAAACTGTGGGAGGAATATCAACTTCAACTCTCCCATATCCACCAAAGAAGAGAGATGCGAGAGCCGGATTACCAGTATTGCTATTACTATTACTACCGCTATCCTCAACATCAGAGAGTAATGAAGATGATGATGATGATGATGATGATGATGAGGGTGAAGAGGGGGATGAGACGGTGGGACCATAAGGGCAACTCCGTTGTTGATCAAAGATTTCCTGAATACGTGTGTATGGAAGATCACCTTGAGTAAACTCCATCTTTACATAGAAGCGTGGATATACGCTAAGTAGTGTTGAGGTAAAGAAACGCAGTTCCACCGCATGTCCAGTTGGACTCACAATGCGACTACAAATAGCACATTTACGTTCATCATTCCAGACATGCTGATGAATATCAGAAAAACTAACGTGTTGTAATAAGAAGAGATAAATTAAAGTGTCACTAAGAGAAAAACGCAGACGACGTACAATACTTGTTCCAGGCACTACAATTAGTCTAGAAGATGTCATTAACGGTAATGATGCTGGCATTAATACAGGCTCTGAAACCGAAAAGAAAACACCATCATTATCTTTCTCTTCAGTAGTATTTGTTGTTATCTCAGCTGCAGATGATGATGATGTTGATACTGTTGTTGTTGTTGTTGCACCTACCGCAACTCCTGTTATCCCCAGTGTTGTTGTTGTTGTTGTTGTCTCTGTTTCTGCCTCCTCTGATGGAAGTGTAAATGTGGAACTTCTTTCCGTTTGCTGCACTGGTAAACCCAATGGTGTAGTAGTGGATGTAAATTGAAGTGCTGGATGACAACACTTCCAGGAATTTACTAAAGCATTAATAAAATCAAAGAAAGCACTCTCGTGTTCTTCTGGTGTGCCATCACGACGAGAGAGTTGAGGTGGAAGATCATACGAAAAGAGAAATAATCGTAGTGTATTAAAGTCATCAATCATGGGTCGAGATAACCCTAAAGATTTACTGTTTTCAAGAAAGCATAATGCTTTTGAAAGTCGTATCGATTCATTACGAGACTTTCTCCGTCGTGAGATTACTCTTTGTGTACCGGACTCTGGTTTCCGTTTTTTTCCTCTTTCTGTTCCTACGCTTGCTCCTGCTAAGCGTGAGATCTGTTGTGTGAGGGTTTCGGGATTATCATTACTTGACAGTAGCAAAAGAGGATCAGAAGCAATACTAATATGAACTAAACTATTATCATTAGTATCATCATTATTAGAGAGTTTAATAAAACTATTATTCTTTAAATAACTTAAATGAGGCACTTGTGATTGTAGGACAGACGCAAGTAAAAAACTGTGATCCCCAGATAATGAGGATAAGGTAATAGACATATATCTTTCTCCTCCTTCTGCTTGTTTAACAAGTTGTACATTGTGAGAGAAGAATGCTACTTGACGTGTAGTCCAGAGATTTTGCCAGTAATTCTCATTTTGTATGATACTTTTCAGATAGGATGAAACGCGTAGCAAAGTATGAACTAAAAAAGAAGCCGGAAGATATGAAAGAATCTCTCGTATAATATCAACAGGTAGACTAAAAATAGCTGGCGTCTTATTAATATGCATTATTATATCATCATCATCATTTTTTTTACTATCATTATAGTTCTTGTTGTTGTGATTGTTGTTGTTGTTGATATCGCCTTCGACTATGGTGGTGGTATTGTTACCACCCTGAACCGTCATTCAGAATAAATGAAAGAGGAAAATCAATCAAAACAAATAAGAAAAAGAAAAAGGGTAAAGGGAAATACCACGACGCGCCCTCTACATGCTAAAAATAAAGATTACGAAAAGAAAGAGAAGGAAAAGAAAAGAAAAGAAAATAAAACACAAACACATGACGTGATAAAGCCACTCTACATCAGAGACAGACAGACAGACAGAGAGAAATAAAGATAATTCGAGTCAAACCAAGAAAAACACATCAACCCAAACGCCACAAGAAATAGAACACACACACACACAGAAAGAGAGAGAGAGAAAGAAAGAAAGAGAGATTATCAACAAAACAAAGAAACACCATATCCATTACACAACCTTCAATCTCTCCTCTCTCACTCTCTTCCCCCCCCCCTCCCCTCCCCCTCTTTCAATACACCACTTCTCATCAACTAACCCCGCAGTGTCTTTGCGAGGGTATCCCATCCCGCCAGTGTGCCTTTGCCGCGGTATCCCTGTTTAGACATCCCGCCCCGTCCCTCTAATGCCTGGCAGACCTCCGGCGCCACTCCATCCACCCACGCAGTTGGGCCAAATATCATAAATTGTCCACTTTTTACAGTTGAGGTGGTGGATGGGGTTCCCCATGCAAATACTCCACGACAATTGGGGAATGCCTGACGAACGGCATCTCGTAAGGCATTAAAGAATTCCACATCCACATCATCGCGACGATAAACAAGGATATTTTCAGGAGAAGTAGTATCACCTTTTTCTGCCGCTTTTGTCAACTCTTGAATTAGTCTTGCACTTTCCAATTTCATAAGTTCCATGGTTAAGTTCTTTACTTTTTTTTCCATATCTACAAAATCCTTGCCTTTCCGTATAGCTGTGGCCACAAAGTCTTCTGGTCGAACACCACCCATCTCTTTCATTAACTCTTTTTCACGGAAGTACATATCTGAAAAGTACTCCCGCACACGATCACCTGCGATAAAGAAGAGTTTCAGTGTATCTCCCTTTGTTTCTTGATGTAGTAACTTCAGCATCTGCAACTGTGCTAAATTGGTCACATGTGTACCACAACAGGTACAACTATCCACACCATCTATAGTGATAATACGAATTGGTCCAGTCACATCATGCGGAATATCACGTGAAGGACGCTGTGTATTATTTCCATCCCCTTCTTCCTTCTCCTTTTCCAGAGCACGTGCTTGTACATATGCCTCTCTGCTTGGGAATACTTCACAGCGAACTGGTACACTCTTTGCAATCGCATCATTACACGCCGCCTCCACCCGAGCCACTACCGCCGGTGAGAGTCGCTCAGATGATGGCAGCACCACATGACAATGCGGATACGTGAGGGCCCACGCAATCGTGGGAAGTGGTTTTCCCTCCATCACATCATTCCTTAACAACATCGCCGTGAGAAGATGTTGGGCGGAGTGGTGTTGTGTGTGATCACGCCGCCGTTTATCATCCACGCGTAGTTTCACAGATGCCCCAACAGGCAGAGCCGTGGGAACACGCAGAACACACGTATCCCCAACCCGCCGTACTTGACGCACCGGCACTGGCACTCCATTTCCATTTCCACTCGTCTCATCGCAAATAAGTTCACCATAATCGCACGGCTGTCCACCACCCTCAGGGAAGAGAACAGAGTCGGTGAGAATAACATCAAAAGCCGAATGTGGGTCCGTAAACGTGGATGCAGCATCCGTATTATTATTATTATTATTATTATTATTATTATTATTATTCTTTTTCGCGTTGTTATTATTATTCTTACCACTGCGTTGGGTCTTGTCTAAAGACAGTGCCTCACACGAGACAACACGTGCACAAAGCTCACGGAGAAATGTGTCACGTTGGCAAGCCAATTCCCCTACACGAGCAAAGCCTAATGGGGATTTCATTTCACACGTATACCTTTTTTTTTTTTTTAACTTGTCTATTTTATTTGTTTCCTTCTCCGATCTTCTCCCTTTTCTTCCTCTACAGATAGAATTATGTATATATGTATGTTATGTAGGCTTGATATAGTGGGCTGTTATTTCCCTTCCTGTCTTTTTCGTCTTTTTTTTTTATTTGTTACCTTTCTTTTTTCTTTTGCAGATGTGTACTCTCGTTCCTAACAGGTACAACATAGAAAAGAAAAGAAAAAACAAAAACAAAACACACAATTCGTCAAGTTCAGAAGAAACAGAAAAAAAATTAAAATGGACACAAAATAGAGAAACACCGTAGACTTTACTGCAACGAAAGTTAAATGAAACAAGAGAGCCAAATCAATAGGAATGCTCCTTCTATATAATCAACAAGGCCACCACCACCATCACCATCACCACTATAAAACTACCAACACAATTCAAATCTTCCTCATCAATCTTGCAGTTTTTTCCTCTGTTCCATGGACTCTTCAGCTTGATTCAATAGTTTGGCGAATCGTTTCCCTCGCTGTTCCTCAAAGTACTCTTCTCTTCGTGCGTTAAACTTCTTATCACCCCGTTCATGATTCTTTACGAACACTTCATTAATACAGGCACAGAATTGCTCTTTAAGTGGGGCACACATGTTAAATACTTGCATTACCTTATTCTTATCACGACAAATAAAGTAGTCTTGAATTACCGCACGACAAGTAGGGTAATCACTAAGCCGAGGATGACATGTAATGCCGCGGAGAAAAAAGTTATCACTGTATGAATCACTTCTCTCAATATATGGATAATACTCCGCTCTCAGTCTCCAGTACTCAAAGTTACGCAGAACATACACATTCTGCCGCCATGTTCGTCTTTCCGCAATGTATGCATTTATCTTTGTTTCGTGTGCGGTATCCACTGTGTGGTGATCACGCGGCAGCAATCCATGGCGAACGCGGGATCCCGTCTTATCCGTCATGCCACGTAATTCCTCAATGGCATCCTTTGAGAGGAATTCCTGCGCCTTCTTCTGCGCCGCATCCGCATTGGCAGTACTCATTCTCAGAAACTGTACGTATTTTCCTCTATCTTCGCTTTTCTTTCTTTCTTTCTTTCTCTTTATGTGTATTGTAACGAGTTACTTATCCCAACCCTGTACTTTCTTCTTTTTTCTTTTCTTTTTGTATTCTTTTACCAATTTCACACCTTTGGAGATATGGTAATGTAATGATACCGCAGCAGGTGCTGTTGCTGCTGCTGCTACAACGACGCTGTTGTCACTATGTAATATCCAAAATAGAAAGAGAGAGAGAGAGAGAGAGAGAGAGAGAGAGAGAGAGAGAGAGAAAGAAATACTAATACAGATTAAAGCCAATATAGATATATATATTAAAAAACAATTCACTGATATCCACACTAGTAAACAATACCACAGAGAGAAGTTAAAGAAAACAAAACAAAGAGACAAATCAAGATAATATGAGATGACCTCTTCTTATTAATATTGTTCCCTTTTTCATCAATTCATTCATTCATTGTTTACTCGAATTACACACACACACACAGACCTCTTTCTACCACTTTACTCATAATATTTAAGCAGATGGGAGAGTGACGGCAAGGTCTGGAAACACCACACCCGTACGCACACAAGCCGCACAACTACGTGGCACCTCCGCATTCAAATAAAACATCAGATGTACGGCAAGCTCCACCGTACGTCTCTCACAACAACTCAATACTCCATCTAACACTACACATTCTCCATCATTTTCCTTCGCTGGCATGCGGAGTTCAAATAACGATGGCAACAACGCACGAAGCTGAACTGCGGCGTCAGCAGTAGTAGCAGTAGAAGAGGAAGGAGTACACATCATCAGTGGATGTCCACTACTCGCAACACGCCAAAGTGGTAGGAGGAATTCAAAAACAACACGATCCACCATTGCGTGATCGGTGTTCGTGCGAAGTGCGAAAAGAAGCCGCGGCACAAACAACACCGCCTCGCAGAGAAATTTTAATCCCTGTGGTGATGCTGCCGCCGCTCGTGAGGCGAGCAGGACAGAGAGAACGTCAGCGGTAGCCAACAGGACCTTCATCCACGTTGTATCCTCTGTATTATTATTATTATTATTATTATTATTATTATTATTATTATTAGTATTATTGCTGGCAGCACGTGTGACAGACTGCAAGAGCGGAGGAGCGAGAAATAACAGTCGTGGGAGAAGACTACTGGGGAAATGCACAACAGCCGCACGTAGGGTGTGAAGTGGACCAAGCATGCGCAGAGCACTCCGACTGTTTATTCCACTATTATTCTGATTTACCCGTGTTGTTGTTGTTGTTGAGGTATCTTTTACATCACGGATCGTAAAAGATAAGAAATCCCGCAACATTTGCCACGCATCATCTGAAGAGGCCGCTAAAGGAAGACAAGCATCTGCAATAGCATTAGCAAGTTCTAAACGAGACTTACTACCACTACTAAGAATAGTACTGCTACTAATCGTATTACTACTATTACTTTTAGCATTATGAACTGTCTCTGGAGCGGCAATAGTAGTAGCAGTAGTAGTAGTAGTAGTAGTATTAGCGGCATTCGCTACTAATTCCCGCATTGTAAAAGGTACCTTTGCTGTGAAAAGTTGACGCAAAAGTTGCATATGTTGTTTTTTAAGCAGACGGTGTTTACGTAGAAACATAGAAAGACACGCAAAAATACGTGCAATTGCTGTAGCTCGATGAACGCGTTCCACATCACGAAAGAGGGCGGTCTGCAGTTCCATTAACTCCTTCCACGCCATACTCCACTTTGGCGAACACTCCTCAAAGAGTTCAAGTATTCGCATTGGTGATGTACCAATCTCCACAAGAGCAGTCTCTCGCTGTTGTTGTTCCTCATCCTCCTGAGCAAAGGAAACTCCATCACTCATATCTATGGATGTACATGGCTGTAACATGGTCTCAAGAAGATCAGGAATAACCTGAATCATTTTCATGGCTGTTGTGATGACTGTATTACTACTATTACTATTACCAGTGGTATGCATAACAACATTGGAAACACGAATCACCATCTTTACCCACATATCGGATTCCCTTAATACCATACGAACACCACTTGGACAGACTTGTAAAATAAGTTGCAGTAATTCAACACCTGTGCGACGAACAGAAACCATTGCATGTGTTAACGTCACATCCACCGCACGCATAACTGCCTGAACACGCTCCAAATCACAAACCATCTCACTACTCTTTACATCTCCTCCTCCTCCTCCTCCTCCTACTGTTCCTCTGTTCAGTGAAGTGGGATCATTTTCATTTCCAAGATTCTGTTGTGAATAATCACTTGGTGGGTGTAAAATAATACGTAACGTGTTAAGTGCGGCACGGCGGACATCATCTTCTGTATCTGTCATCGCATCCAATGCACTTGTAAAGGCATATAATAACTCCACTGGACTTAATAACAATTCTTCCACTCTTTTTGCTGCAGATGATACGGTAAAAGCTGAGGAGGATTGACTAATTGCCATTCTGTGCGTTTCATAGTTCGCCGTGATACTTCTCGTGAGGGATGTAAAGGCGGAGGCTCGCACACCTTTCTTGTAATGCCTCGCTCCACACAAGTGTTCCTTAAAGTCCCTGTGTAATTGCTCTGCGGACACCACTACAGTGGCTTTATCTTTTTCTCGTTGTTGTTCTCGTTTTCGATTTTCTGATTCGTTTCCTGTTGGGGGTTCTTCTATTGTTGCGCGGGTGATGGCGGATGGGGCAGTGACGCGCAGTGTTCGTGCATGCACTTCTGCCCGTGTGGCTGTGGCGGGTGCGAGTTTCTTGCGGCCCACCTTTTGTTTGCGCTGCTCAAAGGCATCATCCCCTTTACGTGCCTTTGCCTTCACTCGAACCATAGATTATATATATATATATATATATATATATATATATATATGGAGAGAGAGAGAGAGAGAGAGAGAATGTCAATTATGAATAAATAAGTAAATAAGAATTGTAATGCCAACTTATTTTTTTTTTCCTGGTTTCACTTCTACCCACCACTACCACAACAAGAACCTTTCTTTCCTTCTTTCTCTTTCTTTCTCCCTTTAGTAGAGAGAGAGAGAGAGAGAGAGAGAAACTTAATATTTGTTAAAATAATAGAAGAAAAAATACGCAGAAGAGTGAGAAGAAAAATAGGGCACACAGACATATGTATACAAATAGAATTAAAACAGAGAGAGAGAGAGAGAGAGAGAGAGACACAAGAATCAGAATATCTTGACCCTTGTCAAGGAACACAGAAATAAAAAATTAATTAATTAATATAACCAAACATATAGAAACGAAAATACAGATCTACTTCAATACTTCAATAGGCACATCATGTGGAAACGAGAGAGAAACTGCCCCCTCCCTTCTTCTCCCCTAAGAGCAACCTTTTCTCTTCTTTTCTCTCTATCCTATTCCCAGTCAGCTTTAACAATCCATCCACCTAACCAACAAAGAGAAATAGATAAAAAAGAAAAACAAGTAAATTGAATGCACCTCCACATAATTACATAAAAAAAAAAAAAAAAAAACAACTGATTATCATATTTTCCCAAGGAAAAAAAAAATAAACAAGACACCCACTATTACCCTCTCTCTATTTTTTCTGCTGCTGCTTCTGCTCTTCCTCTGTGGAGGGAATAATCGTAACTACGGAGAGTGGATCTGGCATAGGAGGGCATTTACACACATATTCCTCTTTAAACTTCGGAACGCTGGGGTGATCGAGGGGAAGCACTCTACCATCTGGTGCTATCCAACCTGCGAGTTGCGGCATTTCAGGAATGTTGTTGGTGTTATTTTTAAAATCCTTTTTAATGTCATTGCCGCTGACTGTATTCACACCAGACATTTCTGAGAGCAAAGAATATCCTTTAATAATGAATAAATATAAATATATAATTATATATACGTATCGACGTAAACTAATATCGGCAATCGTTTTTTTTTTTTTTCTCTTGGGTGTGTGGGGTTTGCCTTTCTAATTCTTGTATTGGCTGCTAGTTTTATCTCTTTAAATTTGTACTGGACGTATAAAACAGGAAGAAGAAAAAAAGAAAAAAAAAAAAGAAAAAAAGCATTACGGCAATTTACATGTGATTGGGTAAACATGAGCGCATAATATCAAGTGATGGCTTTAAATAAAAAAAAAAAAAAAAAACAAAGCAAAACAAAAGAAACACAGAGAAACGTACATATGAAACACACATATTCACACGATTGAAATGATAGAAACCTATGCAATAATAAAAAAGAGAGATAAACAGAGAAAAGCCGCACTATTACTACTACAGCCATGTGTGTGAGTGTGTGTACATATATATATATATATAAATAAATACGAATAGACAGCATTTCATAGAAAATCCTGATGAAATCTCTTTCTTTTTTTAAAAATATTCTGTTTATTCTCTCAATTTTCACACTTCCAAGCGGTTACGTTACCCTTTTTTATTTCTGGTGGACTACTACGCGCTAGAGCAAAGAGGGGGGAATAAAGAAAAAAAAAAAAGGAGGTCCAAAACCTCCCATGTTCGTCTGCCAGAAACAAGAAAAAAAAAAGGGGACACGTACAGAAAGATAGAAATAAAGAAAAAGAGAGAGGGGGTGAGAGAGAGATAAGGAAAGTACATAAATAATCACTCTTGTAATAATGTATATATATATATATATATATATATATATATATATATATATAACCATGTAGAAGTCCATTCATCTCAATCGGTTTCTATTCACTGCTGGCTGAACTATATCTCAACATTATCTTCACAACATTTTTTTTTTTTTCCTTCACACCATAAGCAAAAAAAAAAAGAAAAACAACAACAACAAAAGTGCAGCAAGACAAAGCCTCTAGAAAAACAGGAATTTGCTTCACACAGAGAATCGTATAATTAAACTGAGACTCAGACTCAACGTGAAATGGAGAGAAAGAGGGTGCGTGTATGTGCATGTGCATGGAACACACGGAGAAAAAGAGAACTAACGGCAGAAAAAAAAATAATAATGATAATAATACCAACAATCACCACAGCTACAATAATGAGAAAAACCTCTAAAAACTGCATTTCCATTTACTATAAATATATATATAGTAAATGTAGAGAAAGAGAGTAAGAGAAAGACACATAGACTTATTTCTGACCATTCCATTTTCATTCCAATTACACACCCTCAACTTACACGCACGCCACACATAAGCAAGAAGAGAAGAAACAAACTTAAGCAAACAACTAAAAAGAAAAAAAACAACAACAAAACAAGGAGCATAAAGCAATGAAAAAAATAATAATAATAAACACTAGATTCTTTGATTTCTTTCTCCTTGTTATTTTAGTAGTTCTTTCATTTCTTTCCTCTCTTCTCTTCTCCTCCTTCCCTTCCCGTTTTTTCTTCTTCTCTCTCTCTCTCTCTTTCTGTGTGTGTGTATCCACCGTTTGTCCGTTCTGAAACGCCCTTTTTTTCTCCTTTTTTTTTTTTTTTTTGATTTATTTTCTTTTTTTTTTTTTTTTTTTTAAATCCCTCTTTTTCTAACCCAGGTGCTCTGCAACGACCTCCCAAATCAATCATCATTTCTTTCCTTTTTCTTTCCGGTAAAACTCTCTTCTCTCTTCTTCAATCAGCATTTTGTCAAAACTACAAAGTTTTTTCACATATAGCACATTTTTTTTAGAACACTACTGCTCCAGATAGAGTGTCACCTCTTTTGCATTGTCCATCGATTCTTTTTTTTCTTCTTCTTTTTTTTCTCTTTTCTTTCCGCGATGTGTATATCTAACGTGTGTGTATTTATATTCCTTGTATACTTGCGACCTACAAAAAGAGATCCTCAAAGGGATCCTTCTTCTTTCCTTTCTTTGCAGGTTCCGTTGCTGCAGGTTGTTGCTGCTGCTGTGGAAAGCTTCCCTTCGTAAAGTCCATAGTGGCCTGTTGGAGGTTAGGTTGTTGTTGTTGTTGTTGTTGCGGTGGCATGGGCATGGGTTGTTGTACAGACTGCGGTGCAAAGTTTGGGCCAGCGCCGCCCCACGTCGGTGGCATTACATCTTGTTGATGTAATTGTGGATGTAATTGTTGTTGTTGTTGATGTAATTGAGGATGTAATTGTTGTTGTTGTTGCATATTAAATGGTGTTGTTCCTTGAGGTTGTGCTGTGGGGTACATGGGATCCATTGGATAGGCCCCCGGCACCATCGTTGGTGCCCCTGTTCCCCAACCATCATCCATCACAACATGTTGAGGTGCTGCTGCTGCTGGTTGTTGTTGTTGCTGTTGTGGAGGGACTTGACTGAAGAGAGAGTCCTGCCAGTTATTATTATTATTATTATTATTATTTCCACCGTCAAACTGTTGTGATGGGGCCTGTGGAGAAACAGAGGCCGTTGGTGGCACAGGCGAAGAAGAAGAGGCCGTCACTGGTGTGGAATCAAATAAATCATCAAATAAATCATTCTTTTTCTCCTTTGATGGATCATTCTTTTCTTCTTGTGATTTTCCTTCATGTTCTTCTTCTTCTTCCTGTTGTTGTTGTTGTTGTTGTTGTTTCTCTGTTGTATTGGAGTCGGAACCATCTCTTCTCGTACTGGTATCCTCAGACTTCTTCCGTCTCCCCGCCCCACTCGCAGCCTTTGCCATTCGCCATGCCTCCTCCTGTTCACGAATAAGTTTCTCACGATAGGCCACCATCTCAGGATCTGTACTCTCCGCATCCACGCCTAATGCCGCAAGCGTCTCCGCATCCAACTCACCGCCACTACCATGTGATGACAATGATGTCCGTGAACGTGGTTGCCGTTGGGATGGTCGTTGTGTTTGTTGTTGTTGGGATTGTTGAGATTGTTGTTGTTGTTGTGGATCTCTCGTAACAAACTGTAAACGTCCGCCCCCGACCACATTACTTTCCTCCGCTGCTGCCGCCGCACTGACGTGTCGTTCGCCCTCCACCCGCAGTGGCGGGGCCTTTGGCGGAACGGGTCGATTCACCACCTTCACATCCTGCTGCTCCCACCCATCCGGCCACTCCGTCGCGGTGAAGAAGAAGGTGCCAATGTATTTACTGATGTCTTGATCAAAGCGGAGAAAGTTCGTGAGAGCAAAGATATCCCACCGCTTCTCTGGATCCTGCTCAAGAAGATGCTCCAGTGCCACTCGAAGAGAACTCGTATACCACATCTCCGTGCCAGGTGGATAACGTAATTTCAGACGGCCCGTGAGGCCCATATTGGTTTCACCAAAGGGGAGACGTAAATACATCATATAATACAATAATACCCCAATAGACCAGAGATCCACACGTTCATCAATACGTTTATGACTACCAGGATCAGCCATCTCAGGAGCACGAAAGGCAGGCGTCGTGTGACGTTCAATATCCTCCACAGCAAGAGCAATTTCCTCACGATTCGCACACTCATATGCCTCTGTTGTGGCACTGCCAAAATTACACAAACGGTATGCCGCCGCCCCAGTAGCAGCAGAGTGAATAAGAATATTATCTGGACAGATATCACGATGGGCAATAGGGGGTTGTTGGGTATGTAAATATCCCACCGCACTGGTTACAGCAAGTAAGACTTGTACAATTTCACTCTCCGGCATTCGACTCTCTTGCCGCAGTCGACGGAGAAGGTTATTACTACAGTACTCCATCGCCACCGTTACACCAAGTTTACCATCACTGCGGGTAACCTCCGAATGATAGACACGCACAATACTCTTATCCTTCACACGTGAGAGAATCTCCAGTTCACGGTGGGCCATTACAACTTCATCCACATTAAAGAAGGAACGTTTTAAGGCGAGATGATGTGGAAACTCAGGAAGATTTTCCACATTTTCAACCAGAAATACATAGGATCGAGCAGCATCCTTACTACTCTTATATCGTGTATGTTCCTTGTAAGTCATGGCGTGATTTACTCCATCACCAATCTTTTGTAATACACGAAAAGGACGTCCCATTACAATAATTGTCTCTGTACCATCGTGATTGTATTTTTCAATCTTTCCCTTGGAGGAAAATCCCTTGTCCTTTGAGGACTTGCCACCTGAACTACGGGAATAACCCATTTGAAATGTTCTCATACCACAATACAATACAGGTATATAAATAGATAAATATCTATATAGATATATAAATATAGATCTATTTATTTATATACGTATGTATGTACGTGTGTATGCTGGTTCCCTGAACCAGTCCTTCTTCCTCTTCTTCTGCTGCTGTTTCTGGCTATATAATGATGCCAGACACACTCCGCCTCGGACTAGTTTAACTAATAACAAGCTACTACACTACTCTCTCACCTCTTCCTTCGTTTCTTTCCTTTTATTGATTTCTTTCCTTTTCCCTTATTCGTTCCTCTGTTGTCGCTGAGACACCTCAAATGAACTAAGGGTCAGTGCAGATTAAAAAAAAAAGAAAACAAAGAATAGTAATAATAAAAAAAAATCAACAGCTGAGGAAAAAGCAAACAAAAAACAAAACCTTTACATAAATTCAAAGAAAAAAAAAGAGAGACAGATCAATACCTCAATCAAACACAGAGCAGATATAAAAAGAAAGAAAGAAACACATTTACATATCTCATTACCATCACGGCTTTTCATACAAACATCGCAAAAGACGTAAAAAAAAGAAAAAAAAATCATTTGCTCCAGAGAGCACAGGAATTAAAAAACAAAAACAAAAAAAAAAAAAGAGCCCAATAAAACAACAACATTATAGGGGGAAAAAAAAGATATTCAGTCCAAGAAGTATACCGAAGGATAAAAAGAAAAATGAAGCCAAACAAACAAAAAAAACAGAGAACAAAATTGAAAACGAGAGAAACTCATAATTCTGAATGTTCCCAATGAACAAGAAAACAAAAAACAAAAAACAAGGATAACAACAACAGATACCAGTAAAGAAGAACAAGTGAAACCGGTATATATATATATTTCTCCAAATAATTGTATGGGTATAGGAATGGGACTGACAAATACGGAAAGTTCACACATTTTCGCATTTACATCTTCCAATAAATACACTATATAGTGTACAAAGTAAAGGAATGAAGATAACACACATACACATAGAGCATCACCTTCTCTGCAAAGAACAAACAAGTAACAAATCATATATATATATATGTACATTTATTACTTAATGTAATAATTAGTATCAATTCTCTCTTTTTTTTTTCTTTTCTTTTCCTTACTTTACTCTCTTAGCAGGACTGCACTCCGGTAATCAAACATAGGTGGTGAGAGATTAAACATATGTATTTGACGCCAAAGTTCTGCAAATAACCACCGCAAAGCAGCTCTATTGTTATCTACCATTACCTTTCGAATAACATCCATCTGCCTTCTTTCCGTTGTTGTACCTTTACGTGTTTCCTCCCCACTTTCACCTTCTCTTCTATTCTCCACTTTATCTTTCTCTTGTTTCTTCTTTTCTTCTTCTTCTTCTTCTGCTGCTGTTTCCCTTTGCAGAACCTCCAAAGTGGCCTGCATGATCATCAATGATCTTTCACATCCCGCCGGACTCCCACGCCTTAACAGACCGCGGGGCCGCAGCGGATCTTGTTTGCTGGACATCACACCCCAACTATTCGTTTCATCCGATTCAGATGTTGGCAGTTTGTCTGCTGCGGTGACGGGAGAAACAGTTTCTATTCGGCTCAGTTGTGTGCGTACAGCAATAACAATTTGGTACAAGAGAGAGAGTTCCTTACTGGAGGCAAGTAGAAACAATAATAACTCATATGGAGACCTCTCTGTGTTAGACATTGTACCATCACCAATACTAGTAGTAGTAGTAGTAGTAGTAGTACTGGCATTAAAACAATATCCAGAACCTTCTCTACATGATTTCCTCATCTCACTAGCCCATACAGAACCAACTGGGTTGTTCTCTACAAAGAAAGATTCTTCCTTCTCTGTTTCCTTTTCATCTTCTGGTTTAGTAGTACATACTCCATCCACAATATGATCTCTGCATGTTAATTTCACTAAATGCATAAGATTAAACACATCATCACGCATTGCTAGTGTCCAAAGAAGAGGAACAATCGTTCCACCATCTTGTTCACCTTGTGTAGGTACAATAGATGATCGTATGATATGTAATAAGACATTTATCATCTGTAGACAAACCCGTTGTGCCTCAACACCTCGTCGCAATACTCGACAAGAGGCTAGATAATTGAAGCTATTCACAAGTTCTAACATGACATCCTCACCAAGGACTTGATGTAGAAAATGTGGTTCTGTAGTCAATCCACCTGTAGTAGTAGTATTAGTATTAGTATTAGTATTAGTAGTATTATTGGTAGTAGATCTTACTATTCTGGGGTGTTTGTGTGCGAGACAAACCCGTAGTGTGTGGAGTACTTCGGTGGCAGATCGGTGTAGTGCCTGATACCAACGTGGGGCACTCGGTGAAAGTACATAACAGAGTGACAAGACAAGAATATCTGCGTATGTGCGAATACGTAGCGCTGGGGAAGAATTCTCATTTCCCCCAGTCATATTCTTTCCACTATTATTATGATTATGATTATGATTATTATTTCCAAGAATAATAAGTTTTTCTGGAAGCATTGGCATTGCCGCTCGCAATGTAGAGAGAAATTCATTCGCTTCTTCTCTCGTTGCTCCTGATTCCAATGATGGAAGAGGTGTTGTAAGAAACCGTAGGAATGGAGGATATCGCAATAGAATGAGTAGACAAAGAAGTGTCATTTGTCCTTCACCAAAGCGAGTAGATGATACCGCACTTGATACGAGTAGATTATACACAAGTGAGAGAAAAGGACGTGAACCACCACCACCAACAATCGCAACAGCAACTGGATTATGTTGAAGTAACCAAAGAAGTAAATGAAGGGCAAGTGGGGCACACGGGATGACAGTTCCTCTCGTATTAAATTTACTTGCTGTTAAAGGGTTCTCTAGTAATATAAGTAAACTCTTAACAAGGCTTTGAACGTAGTTTAAGGAGGAAAAGTTCCCATCATTACTACTACCATTAACAACACTGTTACTTCCTTCACTGTCCCTACCAGATGGTAACATAAGTCCAGCGTTCGTATCCGAAGAATAAGAAGAATGAGAAGATGATGAAGGTTGAACACCAATGGAAGAAATACCATCATTTGTAGTTCCAACAACACCAGTATCATGAGATCCTAACGCTGCTTTCATCACTTGTATGAAAACATTACATTCATCTTCATTCAATTCCTTCTGTAATGTAGAATGATCAAAGGTACTTAAACCATTATAGACACCCATACTAAGAAGCGATAAGGCATGACCCAATACATCAATATGAGTTGATGTCAAACAACTACTTCTCTTCCATACAGTGCGAGTAACAGCAGATGCGAGAGGTCGTTTTGGATAACAGCGTACAACATGTAATAAAGATACACATAGTAAGGCACTGAAAGGTTGTCTTCGTCCATCCAAAAGTCCCTTCAGCATCACAGCAGTAGTCTCTTCCCTACGCTGTTGCGAGAGATGCGATTTCACATCATCCTTATCATCATTATTTCCCTTCTCATCCTTTTGGACTTTAGTAACATTAGTACTAGAGTGTGTGGATTTTGCAAATATAGGTCCGGAGAGTGTTAACACAATAGTGCGAAGAAGTAATGCTCTGTGTTCCTCATCTAATGGAATAACATCTGTGTGTTGAGATGCTGTTCTACTAGACACCATACTGCCATTCAGTGAATTCGCCATACTGGATGCTAATGGTGTATTCATAGTGGCAGTTCGTGGAGTTGGGCCGAATGGTAATAACTGTGAGTCCAGTTGAGTGAGTAGCGCTAAATCCATGGCGAGACCTTCTTCTGTAGACATTGTTTTCTCACTAGACGGGTGAGGTTTATTCACCACTGTAAATCCCGGTAGAAAGAATAACTTGACAAGTAATTGAACGAGTCTGGTGCCTAGTGGTAACTTGGCGGAGAGAGAGAAACAAGTACTTGAAATATCTTCTTCAAGATCATCATCCTCATCCTCATTATTATTATAATTATTATTATCATTATTATCCATACCAGACATAGATGTATCTCCTCGTACAAAATAATGATAGGCAAAATCAGCGGCAAATGGACTTTCCTTTCGATTCTCTATTCCCATTAACTCACGGGTATGTTGTGAAGTAATAGTAATATTGGTCTCATCTTTAGCAGCAGCCTCTTCATCCTCGCGAAGGAGTCTTTTCATTTCATTAATATCTTCAAAACAGTACGGTAAAGCCCCAGAAATAAGACGAAGGGCATTCACTGCAGAAGTGAAATCCATTGGCTTCACAGACTCATCACGACCTTTTCTTTTCTTTGAAGAAGATTTATTCTGCATATAACTCACATCATCACTTTCACCTTCTTCACCTTCTTCATTTTTACTAGAGAGTGTGTAAAAGGCCTCAAGTTGTTGCATAGCCGCATAAAGGACTGAAGCCAATCGGTCTGGATGATACAATCGCAACAGTCTCACATCTTCTGCTGTCCAAAACGAGGCATGTTCTTCAGCAGAAAGATGTGTACAAAATAAAGTTCGCCAAAAGATATTCATATCTTCACTACTCTTTTTAATAGTAACAGTGTCTCCATCCCTTTTACTGTTGGAGTTAATAATATCACCAGAGAGTGGATGTTCCTTGTAGTGAAGTTCTGCAATGGCTCGACGGAATGCATATGGATTACCAAGAGATTGTCCCATTTGTATCTATTTACAACTTCTTCAATTGAATAATCCTTGTTTTTTTTTTTTCCTTTCTTTTTTTCTTATCTCTCCTTTTTTTCTTTTTCTTCTTCTACACCTAGATTATTTGTAAATAAATAAATAAATTTATGGGTAAAGGTGAAAGAGTATTTTATCTATCACCGTTATTTGTTATCGTTTCTTCCTTGGAACAATGTAATTATATATAATATGTATGCAAATATAAAGAGAAATAAAGGAAAAAAGAATAACAGAGAAGCAACAACAACAACAAGAAAAAAAAGAATAACAATATAATGAAATAACATGAGACAGTTCCCCTCCAAGTACAAAATAGAGAATAAACCCCCCATATATATATCTATATAAAGGTATTTTTAACTTATACATATATATATATATATATATATATATAAACTCTTTATCTCTCCCCTACGTCACACCTGCTATGCCCACAGTATGGATAAGGGCGAAGAAGGCTCTAGTAAGGGGATGCTGCTGCTGTCCTGTATAGATTGTGTAATGTTTTCATTTACTTCATTTCCTATTCATTCCTTTTGTGTATACTATATATATTACCCTATACGCAAATTCCCACGGTATTATTCATAAAAAAAAAAAAAAAAAGCAAAGAAGAAAGAAGAAGAGATAAAAAAAATAAAGGGAAACACAAACACACTCAACTAGCAGAGGAAAAAAAAAATAGAAAAAAAAACAATACAATTACACTATACACATTATACAGCCTTTATATATGAAACTCAAGATTAAATATCAACAGTCATTATCATCATAATAATCAACAACAATAACAACAACACCAGGCGACGACTACGAGGATAATACATATTGCATTTCCCAAAAGTAAATCAAACAAACAAGCAAACAAACAAATACTGTTTAATAAAACGTAACATCTATACATTCCCAACGAGTCAATCTTAGTCTATATATATAGATAGATAGAGGGAAACTCAATGGGGTTGTGGCGTATCGCTGTTACTACTCGCATTTGAGCCGGTTGTCATACTTCTTCTGATAGCACCCCGTAAACCCACTGGCATCTCATGTGATTGTGAATGTTGTTGTTGTTGTTGTGGCCAGAATGTGTAATGTTGTTGTTGTTGTTGTTGTGAATGCCGGTGTTGGAAATCGTACATGGCATCATCTACCTGTCCAACACCACTACCGCGGTGCATGGCTTCCACAGCGTCTAATTCGGCAACATCTTCAGGCGTGCCAATATCAAGACGAGTACCGTGCCGATTCAACATAGATATATAGATAGATATATATATAGATAGATAGATAGATAGAATCTACTCTACGTTAGATCTAATGTGTGTAACTACAACGTGGTCTAAAGCCCTATATATACATAGAGGGAGAGAGAGAGAGAAAGAAAGAATGAGAACACAACAAAAAGAAAAAAAGGATAGACTTTGATCTAATTACCTTCTTCTTGTTTTTATTTTTTCTTTTACATAATTCCTTCTCCTTTTCACCAAAGAAAGCAGTGTGAAGAGAGAGTGAGAGAGAAGAAAAAAAAAATAAAAACGTTTTTTATTTTCTTTTTCCCCCATTCCTCTCCCTTCACAGAAACCCTCAACGCCTTTTTTTCATTCCCACACGGGAACACAATTAACGAAAAACAATAACAAACAAAACATGTATTCTTTTCCACTACGTGCAATCTTCTCTTCTCTTCTCTCCTTTTTTTAAAAAAAAAATCCCTTCCATTTTCAACACGGACAAACACACATACACACCACTGCAGTCCAAACACCTCATTACGCGTTTTTTTTTCTTTTCTTTTTCTGTTCTCTCTTCTTTTTTTTTTTTTTTAGAACTCTGGCGTAACCCCACCAGAAGTACTAGTGCTTCCAGCAACAGAATGGGACTTTGAAGATGTTCCCGTTTCCTCCTTATTCTCTTTTCCTCCTACCTTTGTACTTCCCATTTCACTGCTTCTTCTTGTTGTTGTTGTTGTCTCTGTTGAAGACTTATGAAGACTCTTATCACCACTACTACTACTACTACCAGTATTATTATGCAGTTCATTCGTAACGGAGTGATATAAAATACGTGCCGGTGGTGTGGAGACTGCAGTAGGAAGTGCCTCTCGTAATCGTTGTTGTAATAATTGTTGTTGTTGCTTTTGGGTGTAAATCCTTTGAAAGTCTTCCTTTGCAGAAACTTCCTTGTGAACCGGTTGAAGTGCCAGAAAACGTGATTGTAGAGTTTCTCCAGGATGACGATAGGTCTCCGTTACAAAGCGTGTTTGTTCCTCATGATGGAATATAAATCCCTCTTCTCTTGCGAGTAGTCGTGGAGCTCCATTTGTTTTCGTAATGGGTGTTTGCCAAGCCACTCGTACATTCCTGTTGGTATCCAATTGAAGTGGCTTTGATTTACGCATGTAGGTTAAAGGAGACTCTTCCATTTGATGACTTCTCTTACTGAGAAGTTCAATCCAAGACACTGCACGGGAAAGATATTTGGAACGATCCTTTGCCATTAAATCTTTTCCATGATAAAATCGGGCCCATCGCAGAATACTTGCAACGTTAATATCACTAAATTGTTGTTGCAACCACATCATAGAATCATTTGGGGAAGGTTCATCAAGACCTAATGGTCCATGTACAGACCATAAAGGATTTCCATTTTTCTCTGTTGATGATAATGCTGTAGATTCATCATTACTGCGTAGGACTTCCAAATAACGTTTATATACCTCACGTGCTACCTCTGGAGCCACAGCTTCCACATCTTTTACTAAGGATGTTGCTCGCATGACATCATCACTGAGTGAAACTTTTTTACCAGCGGCAAGGGCTTCTCGCATATGATGACCAATACGCACATGCACATCACATTGTAAAAGATTATCCTCCATTAGATAATTGTACACCGTAGCGGCCTCTTCTGCACAGTTGTGATCCAACAAGTACTCCAATGCCAACATCGCAATACGATAACGCCAAATAGGATCCACTTCTGCACGAACCACAACATTTTCATAATAACGTCCCCGCATCACATTATATACCCACATCACACGTACACGATGTTTAGCACGAATTGCACATCTCATAAGATTATATAATACCTCTCCATCTCGTGCCACATAAAAGAGTTTACTATTTCCATCTTCAAAAATAGCCACCGCATCGGCTATACGTTTACCAGCAATACAACAGGCAGTGAGAGCACGATAAACTTCCACAGGTGGAATACTTGTAACCCGACGGTATTCTTCACAAGCGGCTTTAAGATGACCACGTTGGGCTAATCGAATAATCTTTCGCATAAGAGGTACTTCATGGGTTGCCGCAGGTACAGATCCATCACGATTAAGTTTCACTGAACGTCTAAAATAGTGATCTTCTTGAAAGAATGGACCACGACGTAACCAACGATAGATACGACCACGACAATCCAAAGTAGCGGCATTTAATCCCACACGATTTGGATCCTCCACATTAATATTCTCATGATCTACCACTGCTGGTTTGTCAAGACGTCCAATATGTGGATCATAGGAGTGAATCATATCATGCGTCACACGATGTCCATTACGAGCACTCATCAGAGATACAGGTGTCACCAATGCCTTTGGACCAATACTGATATCCGGCATATATTTCTCCAATTCATGCTTTGGTATCATAGACACCGTGCGATCCTCCAACACATGTGTCTTCTCTGTGCTGTAGCCGCTGTTGTAGTTTCCCGGTCCACTGCGATAGCGGCCGCGGCCCCACATCTGCGTGAGATCCTCCGGTGTGAGATTGGCACGACTGAAGCGGCTTGGCTGCCACGGCACGCGTGGGCGGGGAATATACCGAAGAACAGAAGTGGCCGCCTCATGGCCCAGACCGCGGCCCTTGTTAAATACACCAGAGACAGACATGGTGGGATATTAGGAGAATATCTATCTATATATCTATATCTATATCTATATATATATAGATAGATAGAGAGAAGTAAAGAGATCAATATAGATAGTGAGGATTGGGTGTTAAGGGAGTCTCTTTACTCTCTGTTGGTGTTATGGATCTCACACAGCCAACCCACACTCCACCTCCTCACTCTCCGGTAAGTAATACTACTCCTACTGAAATGGAAACAACCGTTACCACAAGAAGAAGAAAAAGAAGAAGGAAAAACGATTAAAAAAAAAAAAGATAATGTGTCTTCATAGTTTCACGTTTTTTTTTTTTTTCATCATTGCATATCAAAAGAAGCAGAACACATAAAAAAGAAGTAAAACGAAGAAAAGTTACGTACACAAGTATAAAAAGTTTTAATAGAACCTTTTTACACACCATAAAACAAAACAAAACAACAAAAACAACACACAGTATGGCTTTTTCATTTACGGTGATGATCTCCCCAACGAACCAGTGAAAGAAACTGGCACAACACCAGTACTACTACCACCACCAACAGTACTTCGACCACGCAAGCGGTGAGATGATTTTGCAGATTCCAGTCCCTGTGAAAGTGCAGCTTGCGCCGCTTTACGTTCCGCCTCCTTCTTCTTCACTTCCTCTGCAAGTGCCGTAAGGCTATTCATGAGACTCACATTATCCTCACAAAGCCGCACGCGTTCCTCATCTCCTTCACGTAATTTCTGCTCCAACTTCTCCATCTCTGTCTCTAATTTCTTTATTTCTGCTGAATTGTTTCGGATTTCTTCTTCTTTTTCCTCCAATGTTAACTTGGCGGCATTATGAGACTCTGTCATTTCCTCCAGTGAGGTGGTAAGGGCTTGTACTTCTTCCTGCAGTACGGCGTTTGCCTCCTGCTGTTCTGCGAGTGCCTTCTTCGCATTCTCCAATTGTGCCGTTAAACGAGTTACTTCACTTTCCAATTGCTCCACTGTACTTCGTAGTTCTTCCGCAGATGTGAGTTTCTCCTGCAAAGTTACACACCGTTCATGCATTTCTTCTAATTGCTGCTCAAAGGAACGGGTTGCCTTAAGACCATAACGACGTGCATTCTCACTTATCGGATCACGTCCAAGTGCATCCAGTTGTGCACGCAATAATGCCTCTCGTTCCATTAATTCTCCTTTTTCTACCAGTAGTGAAGCATTTGCACGTTGCAAAGACTCCAACTCTAATAATCGAAAACTCATATTTGTTTTTGTTCCCGTTATTTCTTCTGTTACTCCAACCATCCCTGTTGTCGGAAGTGATAATGATGAAGATAATGAGGATACTATAGGGATCTCTGCGACTCCTGCTGTTGTTGTTGTTGTTGCTGATTGTGTAAGCATAGATTCCTGTAAACGTAATTCCGCTTCTTGTCGTGCTTGTACGGCATTATGGATCTCTAATTGCGCTGCAGACAACTCACGTTTTATTCCATCCATTTCAAGCTGAAGGGCTGTCATGGTTTCTGTGAGTTTTACCTTTTCTTCTCGCATTGCCTGTATTAAATTACGATTCTCTGTTAATGCCCGATCATCTGGAAATATGGTAAACAATAAATCCTGTGTACACTTCTGCTCCAGTAGAGCAAGTTCCACACGATGAATTTGCTCTTGCAGTGCCTTGACATTCTCATCTTTTTCCATCATTTCATTACGATGTTGTTCCGCTTCCAATTCTAACTGACGTACACGTTCTTGCTGTTCTCCACAACGCAATTCCATTAAATGATGCTGTTCCACGTGATGGGCAATCAATCGATCCTTCTGTGCGATTTGTTCTCCCACCAATGCGGCCTCCGCCACCCGTCGTCTCTCACTCTCCACACCGGCCGCACGCCAATGTTCAACTTCCTGTTGTTGGACTTTATTCTTTTCTTCTGCTTGTTGTAACTGAGATTGGAGATCCGCCATGTTGGCATTAGCGGTATCTAATGCATCCACTGTTGCCTCATATTCCTCACGTGTCATCATAGTAGCCATACGTTCTTGTGCCTCATCACGGCTTCGTACAGCACTTACCATTTCCTCTTCCAATCGCCACATACGGTCAAGTAAGACTGTATGTTGTTTACGTTCTTCATGATAAGCTTCACGTAATTTGTTGTACTGTGTTTGTGCCTCATTGAGTTGTTTGCTTAGTTCTTGTAGGGTATATTGTTCATCATTATTATCATCTAGACTTGTAACAATACTATCATCATCGTCAGCATCATTATTATCATTATTATTTTTATCATCTTCAATATTACTATCATTTTTATCCATAGTTTGTTTTGGTTCCGCAAGGGTTCGTCGAATCATCCGTTGACGTTGTGCTGCTAATAACAATACTCGCTGAATCGTGTGTTCCTTTAATGAAGCTGTGCGAAGTAAACTAGCAATATTCTGCAATAACTGCAATTCATCCCTTTCACTAGGACTCTCTCCACTTTCTACCTTCTCATCCCTTGCTGCAACTGTATGAGACGCATCAGAGACGTTAATAACAGAAGCATTTGGATTTGAAGTGATAGGCAAACGAGTAATAGCCGTTTGAAGATCTGCGGCTGAGCGTAAAAGTACACGTTGAGCCTCATTCCAACATTCACGCATCATCTCCGCATGACAGGACTGCTGCGCGGCTGCAATTTCAATAGTTTGTTGGGCCACACGTACACCTTGTTGAGTACACACACGTACAAGAGATGCAATCACAGCATCTTTCATAGTCTCTGCAGCGGCATCCCTGGCGTTATTATTATTATTATTATTATTATTATTATTATTAACGCCTGGTCTACGACCAAGTTCCATAATACGAAGTAATGATGCTGCAAGACTTTTATCTGTTAACATTAAATCCGCATGATGTTTATGTAATACGGCATCAATATGTCCATCAACATGTGATTCCAACTGCATATAACGTTCATCAAATTCTACAAGAGAGAATTGTCTTTTTTCCATATCCTTATTTTCTTCACTTTGTTGTGTTTGTTTTTCTTGTTGTTGAGCTGTAATAGATCCTGAGGTGTTGCTAAAGACTACACCACAGTCAAGCACATCTTCACCGGATGTTCCCCTCATGACATCACTTTCCATTTGCCTTTGGACCATTGGCAAGTTAAACTTGGATGGAGAATCTTCCCTCTTACGTTTACGACTATGAACAATATCTCTCTGTGCAGCCTCTGTATCGGAGTTAGAATGACTTTCTTGTCTCTGTCTTTGTTGTTGTTGTTGTTGTTGTAATCGTTCCTCTGCTGTGTCTGCACGTTGAGTAGCAAGATACAACTGTTTCAATAACTCCTGGTTACGCTGCAGTAACTCTGACACAGAGTTTACAGAGTATCGATCAAAGTTTTCATCCTCACGGAGAATTTCAAGGAAACGTCTATTCTCCTCTGAATCCTCACTAACAATCATCGTGGTCGCCACAGAACCCAATAAACGATCTCTTCTTCTTCTTTTCCTATCCTCACCACTATGATTACTGCTATTACTGCTTCCACTGTGATGACTCTCCATAGTACCATACATACCACTACTAGGTTGAGCTAAGGAATTCCTAACGGGGTTTACAGTAGTGTAGTGAGAGCCTCTTCCCAATGCCACTCCACTGAGTTGATCAGATGCGGGCAATCGCGGCACATGTGTGTGTTCCACTTCCACTGTTGGAGATCCAAAGTTACGTAATAACAGTGATCGACGTGGACGATAGGCCGTGCGGGCAAATACACCAAGACCCGTGCGTACTCCACCCTCCACCTCCAATGGCCCAGCAGACCGCAGGGATACATCCAAGAGACAACTAACACTATTTGCCTCTACAGCTGTTCCTGTTCCTATTGTTGTTGTTGTTGTTGTTGTTGTTGTGCTTCTACCAATGGGATGAGCAGATACAAGATTTCGGTTTTCAAGGAGTGCTTGAGCTGCAGAGGCCACACGTCCTCGCGGTTCACGTCGTGTTGGAAGTTCACCTTCAAGTAATATCTCAGAATCTGCTACCGAGTATACATCCTCTTCTTCCTCTTCTCTTCCTTCTTCACCATTCGCTTTGTCTAAATAATAATGATGATGATGTTCCTCACACCGCTGTAATGCACGTCGTTGTTGTTCCACACGTACCAGTAAAGAAGATACCTGCTGCGAGAGAACACCATTACGGAATGTTAATTGTTCACAATCCTCACGAACACATTTGTCTTCCGCCTCAAGATTCTCTAAAGATGTACGGAGTTCTGTGTTAGATGACTGTAATTCTTCAATACGTGCCTCCGCCTCACGAAGGCGTTCAGCTGCAGATAATTGTGAGGCTGCAAGAGTGGCTTGCTGCTCAAGTTCACGAATAGCATTCTTCCAAAGTCCAGTATGTTGTAGTTGTAGTTGCAGTGCATCTCCTGTAGAATCAAGAACGTTATTTGAACTTTCCTCCATGAGACTTTGGGCTGGATGAAATCTTCCCTCTGTTGTGATAGATTCACGTGTAGTATCTACAGATTGTTGTTCTTTTTCTTTTTCTTCTTGTTGTTGTGAGAATGGATGTGATGAAAGTAATTGGGTTGACGCCTGCAGTACTGGTAGTACTTCATCCTTATGGAGAGTAGCATCTAATGTACTCATCATCAATGGATGTTGTTGGGCCGGCGTGGCATTTAACGCCATTTCTAATTCCTCCTCCAATCGTTTTAACTCTAATTTCATAGATTTACATTCCTGTTCCAACATATTACGTTCATTAAGGAGTTGTTGATGTTCAACAACTGGAATAGTTGTAGCCCGTAGGAGATGAATTTCCTGCCGATACTCCGCATTCTCCTTTACAACCTTTGCCAACAGTGTAGTCAACTCTTGTATTTGTTTAACCATCACTGTTCGTTGTTGTTCCTGCAGTTTGAGTGTTCCCCGTCCTTCTACAAGTTCTGCCATTAACACGGAATGCAATGGATCTGTTTCCGCTTGTGTAGATACTTCACCAGTGCCACGACCACCACTTTGGGCAGTAGCAAAGGCATCAGAAGAGGCCGCCTCTACAGAAAAAGTCCCTTCCTGCCGTTGTTGTGATATTGTTGTTGTTGTTGTTATTGTTGTTTGATCTTTTTCTTCTCCCTCTTCTCTTTCTATAGAAGGATGAGTGTCTTCTTCAGTCTTTGCAGGTTGTGGTTGAAGAGTACTATCGAATCCACCTTCTTCACGTGAACTGGAATAGACATCTAACGCAAAGGACTCACGTGGAGGCATTGACACACTCACATTAGAAGTACAGGCGGTGAGCTGCATATTATTATTATTATTATTATTATTATTATTATTATTATTATTATTATTACTCTCATTTACTATTTGACCCCCAAGCTTTTCAATCAGAGTGGCTGCCCCACACAATTGATCCTGTAAACTTGAGATCTGCGTCTGTAGTTGTTCCACCATACGAGAATGAGAAGCTGTGAGTTCATTTAATGCAGCCGCAGCGGCATCTGCAGATTCCACCATTGTACGTCCAAGGATCTTTGCACGTATACAACTATGATACTCCTCTAATGCTGTTTGGGCAGCACTTTCAAGAGTTTCCACCTCAACTCTTTCCGGCTGCACATCTTCATGATTATCCTTCTTCTTTAATTCCACACTCATCATGTTTGGTTAATCGGTCTCTGTTTTTGTACAAGTGTAAATAAATAAATAAATAATAATAATAATAATAATAATAAATAGATAAAAGTAAGTACACCCCTTTTATCCGTATCTGCGTTTAACTGGGGGGTGGTAATCGATTCGTGCAGATTTGTGTGATTCTAGCTTTCTATCCTTCTCTCTCCTTTTCTCTCCACGTCTGGGAGTAATGAGAGGGAGAGAGAGAAAATAAAAAAGAAACGAATTTGTTTCCTTCCCTTTATTTCAACGTCTGTTGTTCCCCTTTCTTTATTTTTTTTTCTCTTTTCGTTTTCACCTTTGTGCTTCAAAAGCAGAAAATAAAAAGAAAAAGAACAAGAAAGATAATAGAACATATCAACAAGAAGAACAAGAACAGTAACAGGATAACATAAACAAGAAGCATATATATATATATATATATATATAATTAGAAATAAAGATATTAACTTTTGTGTGAAAACAGAGAAACGATCTTTCTTGGTTTAGGATATACCCTCGTCAAGGTTAAATCTCCGGGACGAAAACAAACAAAAAAAAACAATAATAATTATAGTAATAAACATAGTATACGTTCATAGTAGTAATAGTAAAAACAAATAATAGAAAAGCAATACAAGCCGTAACTTCCCTCCCCCCGCTATGCCTCTTTTCTTTCCGTTTTTTTTTTTCTTTTTTCCTCCATCCATCCATCTATCTATCCATCCCCACTAAATAGGATGGTTTCTCTTCTCCAGAACTGTTAACACCCTTCTTCCCTCTTCCATCGCAATTACTTATTTTTCTTCTATCCTTTCTCCATTACCTTTACTTTGAATATTCCTGATCCTTTTTCTCTCTCTCTCTCTCTTTCTCTTTATCGCACACATATACATACACGTATACACATACAAGACAGTTTTCACTTACTGTCCGATAGAGTACATGAAGCAGTAATGTTGTTTGCATAAAAAGTAGGAGACCTGAAAGGCGATGAGTGATCCCACGAGTGGAATACGGTTCACACGACCCACCACAAAATGATCATACACAAACTTCTGCAGGACTGCAGAGAAGAAGGGATCTTGCAAGAAGGAATATCCAATATTTCGCAGTGCCTGTTGAACACGAAGGGCATCACGAGAAGTAACAGGAACGGGAGCTGCCACTTCCGCCACTGGCACCTGTGGAAGAGGTGGCATTCCATCACCATTCAACACAACATTATTATTTGTTGTACCTGTGATACTAGTAGTAGTAGTATTATTATCATTAGTAGTAGTAACAGTAACAGTATTATTATTATTATTATTATGATCAATGCTACCATTCTTCTCTCCGTTACGAGAAGGCACCTCACCACCCTCAATCTCTGCATTGTTATTGTTATTATTGTTATTCTCCTCATTACCGATAAACACCACTGGAACACGATGACGACGAATATAGCGAGAGACCAATGAGAGTATCAAATCAAATCCAAAGAAGGATAACCACACACCCCAATTCGACATGAGTGATCGTGAAGGTCCATCCTTTAACGCGGCATGTAATATAAATAGCGCATCCTCTTTTAATTCACTGACATCTGTAGTCTTCTCTGTGGGATCACTGCTGCTAACATTTGTATTTGAACGCATTTCCTTTGTTGTTGTTGTTGTTGGTTGAGGGACAACGGCAATACCGGGTTTCCCATACGGAAACACACGCCTAGCATAGATAAGCAGCAGTAATGGCCGCAGCAACAAGAGAAAGTCCACCACCACACCCAAGAGATCTAACGCCGTGCAGGGCAACGCCGCACTTCGCCGCACTCCAGAGCCTTCACTCCCATCATATTCATAATCATCCTCATCATAATTATAATGATCCTTATTATTATTATTATCATCATCACTTATACTTCTCGCAGATGTGTGGCTGTGTGGTCGTCGTGCGGCTACGCGTGGAATCACAAGTGTTGTGTTCGCCGGCCCCACCACACCAGCGTTATTTCCACTTTTACCAAACAACTTCTCACACCATCCCACAGCCCCTGTTGCTGCAGTTGTACCTGTATGATGATGATGGATATTATTATCATTATTATTACTTGTAGACAATCGACGGCGACGGGCAATCCCAACTGTGCGCTGCAGAGCCCGCAGAGCCCGTCGCAGTCGTCTTCGCAGGGCGGCCCACATCCACGGCACGAGAAAGAGTTGCCGGTGCACCATCACGTTAAGTAAACACTTCACAGACTGCAGGGCAAGCAATACATTCCACGCCGCACGATGTCCACAGTAGCGACGGAGTACAAGTTCCATCAAACACTCCACTTGTGGAATAATGCGGGTTAAGAGAAGGAAATAATCATTCATACGTAGCCGGCGACCGGGAATGGTGTTTGTGGTAATAGTGGTATGTGTAAAGGATTGTAAATTCACGAGTGTCCATGCGAGTTCTTTTGTGATGAGATTCCGTGGGTCTGTGACGATCATAGCAAAGAGATGTGAGAAGCGTTCAATACCCGCCACATTCTCCTTATTCTCACGCACCCAATTAGCGTAACTTTTTAGGAGACCAGCCATCTAATTAATTAATCAATTAATCAATCAATCAAACACACACAGACAGACAGACAGACTATTGTTAACTCTATTCTCTTCTTTCTTCTTTTCTTTCTTTTTTCCTTGTTTTCTTCTTTTATTTTATTATCTTTTTTTTCTTTTGTGTTTGTTTCCTTTGAATATCTCACGTCCGCCAATGTTGTTTACTAGTATACTACTAATGATGATGATTCTCTTTGTTTCTCTTTTTGTTTTAATTATAATTTTTTTTTTTTTT